TCAGGTGAATATTTCCTAACCTGAGTTAAATAGAGTAATTAGATGGCAGTTTGCTAAACTGGATATGTCTGTCTGCAGCCGCCCGCTGAGGGAACTGTCAACGGGATTCTTGTGGGATATCGCGTGTATTACCGGGAACTTCCACGTGAGAACAACCCAGACGAGCCAAAGACAGCAACCAACCAATCAACAATCAGTCCTGAGCTCAGAGGTTAGTTTGTTTGTCTTTCATTCTCTATCTATCTATCTATCTATCTATCTATCTATCTATCTATCTATCTATCTATCTATCTATCTATCTATCTATCTATCTATCTATCTATCTATCTATCTATCTGTCTGTCTGTCTGTCTGTCTGTCTGTCTGTCTGTCTGTCTGTCTGTCTGTCTGTCTGTCTGTCTGTCTGTCTGTCTGTCTGTCTATCTATCTATCTATCTATCTTAGTATTTATCTATCTATCTATATTAGTATCTATCTATCTATCTATCTATCTATCTATCTATCTATCTATCTATCTATCTATCTATCTGTCTGTCTGTCTGTCTGTCTGTCTGTCTGTCTGTCTGTCTGTCTATCTATCTATCTATCTTAGTATTTATCTATCTATCTATATTAGTATCTATCTATCTATCTATCTATCTATCTATCTATCTATCTATCTATCTATCTATCTATCTATCTATCTATCTATCTATCTGTCTGTCTGTCTGTCTGTCTGTCTGTCTGTCTGTCTGTCTGCCTGACTGCCTATCTATCTATCTATCTATCTATCTATCTATCTATCTATCTATCTATCTATCTATCTATCTATCTATCTATCTATCTATCTATCTATCTATCTATCTATCTATCTATCTATCTATCTATCTATCTATCAATTCAATTCAATTCAAAGGGGCTTTATTGGCATGAAAGTTTTTCAAACAATGTTGCCAAAGCATATACAACATATACAAATACTCTATACACATATACATATACATACACACACATATATATATACATACACGCATATATACACATATACACACATATATATATACATATACATGCATATATACATACATAAACACTTAACACAATATTTGGATATATTTGTGTGTGTGTGTCGATCACTCATTCACTGCCCCTCAGGTTGTGGCATGTTTGAATATATTGGGCAGCAAGATAATTTTTGTCTCCTTCTCCCAGGAGAAAGTTTAATTTGGATATGTCATCCAGGTCTATGAAATTTGGGATTATATAGTTAAATTTGTTAAAGTAAAGGTCCCTTGTGTCTTTGAACGCTTCACATTTTAGGAGAAAGTGCATCTCCGTCTCAACCTCACCTGTCAAACAGTGATCACACATTCTGTTTTCTTTTGGTTGCCAATATCTATCTATCTATCTATCTATCTATCTATCTATCTATCTATCTATCTATCTATCTATCTATCTATCTATCTATCTATCTATCTATCTATCTATCTATCTGTCTGTCTGTCTGTCTGTCTGTCTGTCTGTCTGTCTGTCTGTCTGTCTGTCTGTCTGTCTGTCTGTCTGTCTGTCTGTCTGTCTGTCTGTCTGTCTGTCTGTCTGTCTGTCTGTCTGTCTGTCTGTCTGTCTGTCTGTCTGTCTGTCTGTCTGTCTGTCTGTCTGTCTGTCTGTCTGTCTGTCTATCTATCTATTTGTCTGTCTTTCTATCTTTTGATAGTATCTCTCTCTCTTCAAATTCACAGCTTGAATTTTGGACTCAAACTGAATTTTTTTTTTGATTTGTATTTTTTTTTCCAGGTGAAATGTGTCATTTTCATAATGATATCGCCAATAAAAAACAAATGTGATAAATATGTTTTGTCAATGTTGTGCTACTTTCCGTTTCACATGACTGTTTAGTCTTCTGTTCTTAAATGCATATATTAAGCATTGTCCCTTGTGTAATAACTCTCTTATTCTCTTCTCCTCTCTCTATCTCTCTCTGGGTTTATTTCACTACTCAAACAGCTAAGAGCACTTTTAAGACAGTGAGCAGCCCTTCATTAACAGAATTTGAATTAACGCGTAAGTATTTTTTGATATTATTTTAATTGCTGAGTTGTTTCAATAGTTGTAATCTTTGAAGTGTTAACAGAGTCCCATTCACGCCCGAAGGCTTTCAAACTCCCTGTTCTATCCTCTGATCTCCTCTACCTCCATAACAAACACTTCCCCTAGTCTTTACGCTTTGTTGTTTAGCCTCTGGTCCTGTCATGATCTGCATGTGAGGAAGGGGAAAAATGTAAATCTATTTTGTTCTCCACCTCATTTCCACACCCTCCTTCTCATATCCACGTCCCTTTTCTGTCGCCTACAATTTTTAAAATTGTTTTCTCATTTTTTGGGGTCTCTTTCTCTGCGTTTCTCTGAACTACTTCTTCAGCACTCTTCGCACTTTTAAGCTTCCATTTTATTTATTTTTTCCTCTAATGGTGTTTTTCAGAGCTCAGCAAGTACAGAGGATACACGATTGTCATGACGGCATTTAATGTTGTTGGAGAAAGCCCTTCAAGTGCACCTGTAGAGGTTTTTGTGGGAGAAGCTGGTATGTGTTTATGCCTTATTAGGATCAATCCTGTGACTCAGTTCTCAAACTTGAACCACAAACTTGCACGGTAAACACAAAGTGCTTTTGAAATGCAGTTGTTGTTTGCTGATATGCATCTGATATCTCATTATCTGACCTGCAATTAAACACTATATTTGATATTTGGTCTGGTCTGAGCACTTAGCGCTCAGGTAATGTTAATAAGGAGTACATTCACACATGAGTGAGATGAAAATTATATGCAATCATTCCTGTCACACAACCTGTTTTATCTGGTTAGCATCTGTATGGGAAAGAAAAGAGGGGCTTGAATCGCCTAGTGTGGACCAATTATCTGCACAAACTATTAGACAACACAGAGTGGATCCATTTGCGTGACCTATTGATACACGATATAGACCAGTTCCCACTATGCAGCACAAATCAATTTAGCCAGTGATGTACTGCCTGGTGGGGTACTTGTATAAAACAGTCAGTAATGTCTTCACTGAGGGTAAACCGACGTCAGATATTTGTATAATGTCGGATCTGCTCTATCTCTATACTCCTCATGTACAAGATCTTTCATGAATGATGTATTGAAGTGAAATAGAGTAGATATGACCTTCTTTCAGTCTATAGGATGTGTTTGTGTGTTAACATGTATCACTGCACATGTCAAAGCTAATTTAACTGTAAACTGATCTATGTAGAGCATTGTGAAAGCCCATTACCTAAGCTAATTTAAAAAATGAGCCATGTGCACAAATCAGATTAGTGTGCACATCTGACCTCTCTGAAAAATCCGAATGAGAGGGATGGCACTTCATTAAATGCAACGTCCCTCTGGCGTGACTTTAACACACAAAGACAACAAGGCCATCTTAATTACATATCTCTCTTTATAGGAGTGTAGAATGAGCTGAAATGGGAATTTGACACATACAGCTCAAAGTCACACACAGACTATAATGAGACCAAGCCCAACTAAACAACAGATCTATGAAATGTACAGTATTTACAATGAAATTGCATATTTAGTTCAATTTAAAAAAAAAAAATTCTTATAATTTACTCACCCCCATGTCATCCAAGATATCCATGTCATTCTTTCTTCAGTCGAAAAGAAATTAAGGTTTTTGATGAAAACATTCCAGGATTTTTCTCCATATAATGGACTTCAATGGGAACCAAACGGTTCAAGATCCAAAAGACAGTTTCAGTGCAAACTGCAAACTGTTCAAAGGGCTTTAAACGACTCCAGGCCATGAAAAAGGGTCTTATTGAGCAAAACGATCGCTCATTTAAAAAAAAAAATAATAATACGTTTTATAAGCTCAAATGGTCGCCTTGCTCTGTATTGTGATGCACGTTCGGGACTCTGCTATTTGAACTCGTTCATCAAAATGAACGAATCTTTTCCAGAGACAACTCATTCATTTTGTTCGTTGAATAAACCAAATGACACGAAAAAAGATTCGTTCATTTTGATAAATAGGAGAGTCACGAACGCGCATCACAGAACAGAGCAAGGCGACCATTTGAGCTTTTAAAACTTAAAACTTTTTTTTTTTAATGAGCGATCGTTTTGCTCGATAAGACCCTTATTTATCGTCTGGAATCGCTTAAAGCCCTTTGAACAGTTTGCAGTTTGCACTGAAACTGTCTTTTGGACCATGAACCGTTTGGTTCCCATTGAAGTCCATTATATGGAGAAAAATCCTGGAATGTTTTCATCAAAAACCTTAATTTCTTTTTGACTGAAGAAAAAATGGCATGGATATCTTGGATGACATGGGGGTGAGTAAATTATTAGCAAAAATACTCCTTTAAGATCATTATAAATGTTGAAAACAGATTTGACAGCTGGCCTGTTTACAGAGATGTTACATTTTACAGATTTCAGTGTGTCAATAAATCACTAAACCTCTGTCTCCTTTCAGTTTAGTCACTGTCCATTATGCCACAGAGAAATGTCATCTGATATTTGGCCTTTATATGAGACAGATAGTCTATGAAGTAAATGGTTTTCCAACTGTGGAAGTCGACACTTGCACGTTTGATTTGTTTGTTGCTCAATTCAAAATTATAATTGTGTGCATGTGTTCACAGCTCCTTCAGTGGCTCCTCAGAACATTCAGGTGAAACCCGTGTCCTCCAGTCAACTGGACGTAGAGTGGCAGCCTCCACCCGTCGAGACACAAAATGGAAAAATTCAGGGATACAAGGTGACGATATTTATTTTTTTTTACTCACATGCATGCACAAAACATTATCCATATGATTCGTAATTATCATGTGAACGACCCATGAGACATTCAGTATCATTAAGGACTGTATAATTGGTTATTATTATATTCAACATTTTTAATTGTCAAATGCATATTTTCACCCCTAGAAATTACCTATAATTCCCATGCACATTATGCGTTTGCCACATTGTACACTATGTGGCAAAAATTTCAATGCATGAATACATAATGCACAATTGTTTAGTCAGTTGTGAGACCTGGCTTTTATGAAAAGTATTTCCAAAATCAGTCAGGCAGTCCATCTGTTTACCGGCATAAATAAACCGTCGTTCATCTGCAGTCTGTCTTCCCTTATCTCACCGTCATCTGTTGATTTCACCGCATTAGCTTCCACCGTTGTTTTCCTATTTACGCCATCTGTACATCTGTCTCTCATAGACATTTGAACAGGAATTGCTTGTGAATCCTTCTGTTCTGTCCACAAACACACAAAGTATCAATTCACATTTCTTATTTCATTCTTGTTTCGGTGTGTTTGTTTATTTAAAGAATTAGTTCACCTAAAAATGAAACATTTGTCATCATTTTCTTGCCCTGGAATCATTCAAAATCCGCATTGCTTTCTTTTTACCTTGGAAGACAAAATGAGGCATTCTTAAAAATGTACGCGTAGTTGCTCAATGAATGATGAATGTAGCATTTAGGCTTCCAGAACAGCACATATGTTATAAAAACATCATAAATGTTAGAATATACACTTCGGTATTGCCCTCATATCATTCAAAATCCATATCACTTTCTTTTTACCTTGGAACACAGAAGGAGGCATTCATAAAAATGTACTTAGTTGCTCAGTGAATGATGAATGTAGCATTTAAGCTTCCAAAACAGCACACCTTTTATAAAAATATCATAAATGTAAGACTATACGGTAACACTTTACTTGAAAGGATGTTCATAAGAGTAACATGACACCTTCATAATCATGACATGACATATGTTATGAAAATGAAGGAAGTTTTATGCATGTTTGTGACAACTGTCATCAAGTGTCATTCACTCAGTTATGACATTTTTAATGCAAATATGACATTTGAGATGTCACTAAGACAACACAACCTGTCATAAACATGACATCTTAAGAAACCACCTAGGTTTGTTGGTTAACATTACATTAAACTGTCAGGTGGTTGGTTTTGACATTGGCTGTCATGAAGCCATTATAACTTTTTAATGTAGTACCACTTTAGTTGAGGTCACGAAAAATATTCATGACACAGTTATAATGGCCTCATGACAGCCAATGACAAAACCAACCATGACTTATTTTTATGTCAAGTTGTCATGACAAAGACACTGACAGGTTATGATTTTATGGTTTATGTCAAGATATCATAACAAAGACATCTTAATGTCATATTTGCTTTCAGAATGTCTTTATTGAGCGAAAGACACTCAATGACAGTTGTCATAAACATGCATAAACCCTACTTCATATTCAACACATATGTCATGTCATGGTTATGAAGGTGTTATGTCAGTCAAGTTAAGCGTTACCGAATAGACTCTTTCGTAATTTGGCGTAAGTTTTTTAAAGGTACACTATGTAACTTTAAGCTACATATGGCAATTTATCTGTTCAGTAAAATACCTTACTCACCTGCTGAGTAATATAATGCAATCTCCAGTCTCTATTCATTGTAAATGCATGGAAAGGAGCGACAAGCACAGTATTCAAAATATACTCTTTTAGAGTTTTTGGGTGAATATTCCTTTAATTTTGTATATGTGTCCCACAGATCCATTACTGGGAAAAGGACAGGCAGAATGAGACGGAGAAGGAGCTAGTTTTGTTTGTGCCAGATACATCCGTGCACCTAAAGAACCTGACATCCTACACCACTTACCATGTACAACTGTCTGCATTTAACACGGCGGGTGACGGGCCACTCAGTGCAGCCCGTAAAGGACGCACCCTGCAGGCTGGTGAGTCCCGCTGAGACCCGTTACGCTCATCCGGATGCACGCGCACCAGACAACCAACCGAGACATCCAAAACATTGTCAGACATGTCATTCCTCTGGTATCACTGCTTCTGTTAAGATAGTAAATGTGGCACTTTTTTCTATAAGAGTCTTTTTTGCAAAATTTAGCAAATGAAAACAAGTTTGACTGAACCTTTACATTACCATTTGCTGTAATGCAGATTGAACATATTCAGGCATACTGTGATAGTTTTATTAAAGGAATGTTCTGGGCTCAAGTTCTATTGACTCTAGACAGTTAAAAATCATGTTTACTCTAATGCACTTACATGGGAAAGTCTAAAGAGCAAGACATTGTGGTTTAAAAGCAGAAATGTACAGCTCATTTTTTGTGAAAACACTTAAAGTGGCCCTATTATACTATTTGAAAGGTCTCCTACAATATATGTATTTGCATTGAGTCTAAAACCACTTACATTTTCTCATAATATACATTGCACATCACCTCTTTTTTTCAAAGTGTCTGAAACGATTAGTTCAAAGTTTGAGTCTATCTAAACCCCCCTTTAAGTGAGCCTAATCTGCTCTGATTGGTCAGACAGCCCAGTCTGCTGTGATTGGTCTGCCACTTACAGTACAGCGTGTGTTGGAAACAAAACACTGAATCAATTCTTTCAATAACACTATAACTTTATTTCTTGTGCACTTTAATCATTAGAATATATATACAGTACATATTTATTTATTTAGAAACTTCACATTGTTAATGTTACAACGTTTTGTCCCTTTCTGCCGAATAATTAAACATACATACAAATATGACTATAACAATGATAGTAATGATAATAATAAATGAATAAAAATAGGTAAATAAACTTTAAGATAACCCAGGTGAAAAAGACGTTGTATTAAATGTATTAAAAATATATTTGAAATACAAATAGTGTGTTTATAATACATTTGTATTTACAACATGCTTATTTAAAGTGTACTAAAAATGTATTTTATTGCATTTTAGTATATTTCTAAAAAGTATACTAGAAGTACATTGGTAATAAATATATATTTAATTACACTTTTAAGAAATATACTATAGAAAAGCATACTTTTAATGTATTTATAAAAAGTATATTAGTAATATATTGGTAATAAATGTATGCTTTATTATATTTTTAATAAATATGCTAATGATAATTATACTTTAAATGTATTTCTAAAAAGTATATTAGAAGTACATTGGTAATAAATATATGTTTAAATACACTTTTAAGAAATATACTATAGAAAAGCATACTTTTAATGTATTTATAAAAAGTATATTAGTAATATATTGGTAATAAATGTATGCTTTATTATATTTTTAATAAATATGCTAATGATAATTATACTTTAAATGTATTTCTAAAAAGTATATTAGAAGTACATTGGTAATAAATATATGTTTAAATACACTTTTAAGAAATACACTATAGAAAAGCATACTTTTAATGTATTTCTAAAAAAGTATATTATTAGTACATTGGTAATAAATGTGTGCTTAATTATATTTTTAATAAATATGCTAATGACAATCATGCTTTAAATATGTTTCTAAAAAGTGTACTAGAAGTACATTGGTATTTAATTACATTTTTAAGAAATATTCTAAATACAAACATATTTTAATTATATTTAAAAATGTTTTACTAGAAACGCAATGCTAATAAATATACACTTAATTACACTTTTAGAAATATGCTAAAAACAAACATAGTTTTAGTGAAGTTTTAGTGTATTTACAGAAAGCATACTTGTTGCTAAATTAAAGTATTTTTTGTGTTCACTTCAAGTTTAAAAATTCAAGTCCCTTTAATTCCCTTCCTAACATGAAGGCAATTAAACATGTATCGAAATTAATTGTATATTTCTACAAAGACTAGAAGTAGCACTTTAATTATAAATATGTGCTCAGTTAAGCTTTTAAGAAATATACCAAAAACTAACACACTTTTTGTAATACTACCAACACTTAACTCAATGCATATGTATTTCAAAAGCACTAAAATTTGACTAACAAGTAATGCACTTCTATACTTCTGCATTAATTAATCAAATAGTCTTTTCCACAAAACAAGTGAATACCAGTACTTGCACACATCAACATAAAAGATCAGGTGTACATACTAGAAAAACAAAATAAATTTCTTAAAGCTTGACTCTTACATTTGTTTAGCCAAAATTAATTAAAAAAAACTTGTTAATAAGCATGTTAGGTTTATATAAACAGAGTTGTTTCTTTTTTTGTGGATGTTAGTTAATATTTCCAGTTGCATTCATTTGGACCAATCAGAGCCAATCTTTTCAAAACAAGCTTGCCGGCAATTGTCCAATCACACACTGCCATTTGAACTTACATGTTGGGCGGGGCGCAGACAGCGGATACTGACTGTCTGTGGTATCCCACCATTATAGCTTCGGATATTTCAACAGAAATCATATATTTTCCAAATTTTGCTTTGTTATTTCACTGGCTCGGACCTAGTGAATGTGGATAGCACCGATCTAATATTGAGAGAACACACGAGCAGATTACCAGGTCGTCAGCTCCCGCGAACAATTTAGCAGTGAAGAGGACAACGCAGAGGTGCGCCGCCACGACATGGACAGAGCAAGATACTGCCAGAAAAGATCTTACTTCTTGGTGGTAAGTTTATTAGTTTAAGTGATTAGTATAATTGGCTTTATTCTCACTTTGGGTTTAGAAAATATTTTCAGAAGTTGATGTCGATGTTCTGTGGATTACTGGCGTTTCTGTTGATTTGACACTAAAGCGAGTTAATCCATTGACGTCTATCAACTTAATTGTTATAGATCTAGACAGTGACATAATACAACTATAAAAACATTGCACACTGTGTTTGCAGAAAAAAGGTTATTAATGGTGATTACACGACAGGCTTGATTGTCCCTAAGTAACTTCTTGTGTTTTAAATATTATAATATATTTTAAGCTCTAATAAAACTTTCACATCTGTGATATTTAATTCATAGTAAAATCTAATTAATTATTAGTAGGCTGTCAGTTTTCATGTCAATTCGATAAATAAATTAAGTTGTAATCACCAACTATAAGCTTTCACAAAACCAATTATTAAATATCTTGCACTGAGAAATTAAAATGATGTTAAATAATGAAATGAGAGATTTTATATTTAATATTTAGCCTAGCCAAGGAATTTGCACATTGCAAAGACATTTTTTTTATTAAACCCAACCGTGAGTAGATGAGGTCAAGTCGAGTAAGTAGTACTAGTTGATCCTCTTGATTTGTAACTTTTTGTTGGTGAAAAACAACAAAAAAAAGGCAATAGTGTGTCATGTAGCAGCTAAGTAACTAAGTGACCTATATATATTAACACGTATTTGAAAAATGAATATGTATTTTGCCTGATTATGCATTGAATTATGCAATCACATAATCGTGTTTTTGTCGAGGGACTGATTTATATGATTTTATGAGTGGTATTCAGCTTTTTTACATTTAATCAAGGCGTTATCAGCTGTCACCAACTTGTAACTTTCAATAGAAAGTTCTGTCTTTATTAATAATGAATAATTACTTTAATAATAGGGTGGAAGTTACAGTAATGGTTCATTAAATATGTTTCACCATTTAAACAAAATACAAATTATATATGAAGAACACAAACTAGTGTTTTTTCTGCCCTAACTTTGTATAACATGCAACTTTATTTTTTCTTATAGAGCTTCCAGGGATATTAGCATCTCTCAAAGAGGCCCTGGAGTCCATGAAACGAGGTTCATTCAGCTCAAGCCCAAGATCATCTGAGCTGTGTCTTCCTGAAACCTCAGAAATGGTTAGAAAATTCTTTATGATAAAGAAAAATCCTATTTGTTATAATAATTATATCTGACTTTTTGTGCATTAAGTGTTCTGAATTAAGTAACAAAGTGACAGCTTTTTATTAGAATTATAAATGAACAAGTTTATACTAATGCTTGTTTTTTTTTTATTCTTGCCAGATTTCCCTCGGTGTTTCTGATGTCCCCAAAAGAGTCTATGGCAGACTGAACAAGTCACGAACTTCTCTTTTTACTCAAGATTTGGCCACTTTACTTTTTGCTATTGTATTTCACTTTGTTTGACTTAAAGGATTAGTTCACTTTAAAAAAAAAAAAAAAAAAACCTTTAGCTGATAGCTTACTCACCCCCATGCCAAGATATCCATGTCATTCTTTCTTCAGTTGAAAAGAAATTAAGGTTTTTGATGAAAACATTTCAGGATTTTCTCCATATAATGGACTTCATTGGGGACCAAACGGTTCAAGGTCCAAAAGACAGTTTCTGTGCAAACTGTTCAAAGGGCTTTAAACGATTCCAGACGATGAATAAGGGTCTTATCAAGCGAAACGATCGCTCATTTTAAAAAAAAAAACCCACAAGTTTAAGTTTTATAAGCTCAAATGGTCGCCTTGCTCTGTTCTGTTATGCATGTTCATGATTTTCCTATTTGAACTCGTTCATCAAAATTAACAAATATTTTTCCGAGTCATTAGGTTCATTCAATGAACGAAATGAATGAATTGACTCGAAAAAAGATTTGTCAGGGCTGCCAACTCTCAAGCATTCAGCACAAGACTCTCGCAATTGAGCCAATTCTCATGCTTTCACGACAAATTGACTGTTAGCCATTGGACCCTGAACTGTTTGGTTCCCAGTGAAGTCCATTATATGGAGAAAATCCTGGAATGTTTTCATCAAAAACCTTAATTTCTTTTCGACTGAAGAAAGAAAGACATGGACATCTTGGAAGACATGGGGGTGAGTAAATTATCACCAAAAGTTTTTTCAAAAGTGAACTACTCCTTTCAGTTAGTTTATTTATTTATTTATTTTTGTTCTGTTTAATACCTCTGCAAATCAATGCATTTTATGTTAATGTATTTTGTTTAGTTTTCATAATGCTTTACTGATGTAGTGCATTAAAGTTTATCTTTCAAAGAGTGTTTGTGTGTTTTGTAGAAATATTTTTTTATTGGGTTTTGTTGAATTCAAATGTTTAAATGTATTTTTAATACATTAAAATATATTATTTTATATTAAATGGTTTTTGGAAAAATATATTTTTAATATGTTAATAGTGGGTCCAATAGTGTTCTACTAATACATTATTAATAAGCTGAAATTATATTTAAAATATACTCAGAACGCATTAATGTGAAGCTAAAAATATACTAATGCTGTATTTCTAAAGTCGATTTAAAGTGTATTAAAATACACTTTAAATAAGTGCTATTATATTACATTAAATGTACTTAAAATGGTTCCATTTTAGCACAATTTAGTATAATAAAATATATTACTATTACCTTAAAATTGAACTTAAATACATATTAAAATACACTTAATATACTTGAAGTTGTTTCAATTTAGCACATTTAATACATATTTAATACGGTACATTTAAAATACATTAAGTATATCAAAATAAGTACAATTTAAATATATTTCCTTTTCACCTGGGAATGTACATGTTTAGAAATGAACATAATATCCTTGTAGGATAAATAAATGAATACGTACATATAATAACAATAATTAAATAAAAAATACATGACTAATAATAATAATGGGTGAGATTTGTAATGTTCTTATGCTCACCAAGTCTGCATTTATTTAATAAAAAATGCATTAAAAACAGTAACAATGTGAAATATTATTACAATAACAAAATAATGTAATTTTTTCCTTTGATAGCAAGGTCTTCAATGTCACATGAACCATCAGAAAATCCTTCCAATATTCTAATATTTTTGTGGTACAGATGTTTGAACAGATATTTTAATAGTAGTGTATTTGTGTTACTTCTATATTATTTTTGGTTGTTTTTATGGAAATGATTTTATTTAGCAGAAGAATGTTTCTGAGATGTGTCTTTTCTCTCTCAAGCTCCTGGAGCACCCAGTCATGTGGTGTTTTCGGAGGTGACGGGAAGCTCAGTGAATGTGTCATGGGGAGCTCCTCTGCAGCCCAATGGAGTGGTGGAAGGATACAGAGTGGTCTATGAGCCCACCGCACCAGTTCATGGTGAGCAGGATGAAGAGATATAATCATTCAAAAATTGTAATAATAAAAAAGAGTCTTGAGTACAGTTATACACTCACCTAAAGGATTATTAGGAACACCTGTTCAATTTCTCATTAATCTCAATTATCTAATCAACCAATCACATGGCAGTTGCTTCAATGCATTTAGGGGTGTGGTCCTGGTCAAGACAATCTCCTGAACTCCAAACTGAATGTCAGAATGGGAAAGAAAGGTTATTTAAGCAATTTGAAGTATTTCACAATCTGCTCAGTTACTGGGCACAACCATTTCTAGGGTTTACAAAGAATGGTGTGAAAAGGGAAAAACATCCAGTATGCGGCAGTCCTGTGGGCGAAAATGCCTTGTTGATGCTAGAGGTCAGAGGAGAATGGGCCGACTGATTCAAGTTGATAGAAGAGCAACTTTGACTGAAATAACCACTCGTTACAAGCGAGGTATGCAGCAAAGCATTTGTGAAGCCACAACACGCACAACCTTGAGGCGGATGGGCTACAACAGCAGAAGACCCCACCGGGTACCACTCATCTCCACTACAAATAGGAAAAAGAGGCTACAATTTGCAAAAGCTCACCAAAATTGGACAGTTGAAGACTGGAAAAATGTTGCCTGGTCTGATGAGTCTCGATTTCTGTTGAGACATTTGAGCGTAAACCGAATGAGAACATGGATCCATCATGCCTTGTTACCACTGTGCAGGCTGGTGGTGGTGGTGTAATGGTGTGGGGGATGTTTTCTTGACACACTTTACGCCCCTTAGTGCCAATTGGGCATCGTTTAAATGCCACGGCCTACCTGAGCATTGTTTCTGACCATGTCCATCCCTTTATGGCCACCATGTACCCATCATCTGATGGCTACTTCCAGCAGGATAATGCACCATGTCACAAAGCTCAAATCATTTCAAATTGGTTTCTTGAACATGAAAATGAGTTCACTGTACTAAAATGGCCCCCACAGTCACCAGATCTCAACCCAATAGAGCATCTTTGGGATGTGGGGGAACGGGAGCTTCGTGCCCTGGATGTGCATCCCACAAATCTCCATCAACTGCAAGATGCTATCCTATCAATATGGGCCAACATTTCTAAATGCTTTCAGCACCTTGTTGAATCAATGTAATGTAGAATTAAGGCAGTTCTGAAGGCGAAAGGGGGTCAAACACAGTATTAGTATGGTGTTCATAATAATCCTTTAGGGGAGTGTATATTATACAATATTCATAAAGACCCTTCTTGATGTGACAGGTGTCAGTAAGACAGTTACAGTGGAGATCAAGGGGAACTGGCAGCGCTGGCTGAAAGTTCGTGACCTGAAGAGGGCCGTGACATATCGCTTCAAGGTTCAGGCCAGAACCATTGCTTACGGACCCGAACTGGAAGCCAATGTCACTGCAGGACCAGTGGAAGGTATGAGTATGAAACGTGAAAGTAATAACTCATAATAAATCGAGCAACATCGCCTGCAGTTACAGACACAAGAGCTGGAGGCTTTCTTTGGATTGAATTAATTGTTGAATATGAAATGACTGCATTTTCTTTAAAAAAAACACCTTTCTAAACCCTGGGACCCACTAGAGAGATGGCATTTCATTATTTTAATTCTTCAAATTAGTTAGAGATGGAAATTAAAAGAAGGCTGTGTGAACGTCATGGTTTGATTAGTGCTCTGTAATGAGAATGTGTGATTTTATGTAGCCTTTGAGCACTTGCACATTCTCATGACAGTGTCTTCATTGTGGTGGGATGTTGAGCCTCACACAGTCAGCTTTCACTTTAGAATGGTCCTCAGATGAGATGAAGCTGACTCATGTAGCGCTGGACTCTGACTGGTCAGTATGGTGTATGATGGCGTATAAGCACTTAAGTAAACGGACAGAATTTTAAGCAAAAAAAATTAAATAATGAGGTCCTTGTATGTGTCCTATATGGTACTGAAATATTAATTCATACCACATTGACATGGTACTCCAGGGTACACTAGCAGTCTAAAGTGTAAACACACTGGAGTGAATGTGTTTCTGATCATCTTGAAGGCCTTAAATGGTTGAAAGTAGTTTTGTAGATGAATACAGTTGATTTTCTACTCATGAATTCACAAAACTGTTTTCTGTGTTTAGTTAGTCAGTGGGTGATTAGGGCCAGATAGCAAAGCAAATGCAGCCAACAAGTTTCTTTCTTTCCTTCCTTACTCCATTCCTTCCTTCCTTTCTCCCTCCCCCTTCCTTTCTTCCTTCCTTCCTTCCTTCTTCCTTCCTTCCTTCATTCCTTCCTTCATTCCTTCCTTCGTTCTTCCTTCTATCTTCCCCCTTCATTCCTTCCTCCTTCCCTCTTCCTTCCTTCCCTTTTCCTCCTTCCTTCCTTCCTTCCTCTCTCCCTTCCTTCTTTCCTTCTTTCCTTCTTTCCTTCCTTCCTTCCTTCCTCTCTTCCTTCCTTCTTTCCTTCCTTCCTTCCTTCCTTTCTTCCTTCCTTACTCCATTCCTTCTTTTCTTCCTCCCCATTCCTTCCTTCCTTCCTTCTTCCTTCCTCCTTTTTCCTTCCTTCCTTCCTTCCTTCCTTCCTTCCTCCCCATTCCTTCCTTCTCCCTCCCTCCCTCTTCTTCCTTCCTTCATTCCTTCCTTCATTCCTTCCTTTGTTCTTCCTTCTATCCTCCCCCTTTATTCCTTCCTCCTTCCCTCTTCCTTCTTTCCCTTTTCCTCCTTCCTTCCTTCCTCTCTCCCTTCCTTCTTTCCTTCCTTCCTTCCTTTCTTCCTTCCTTACTCCATTCCTTCCTTCCTTCCTTCCTCCCTCCCCATTCCTTCTCCCTCCCTCTTCCTTCCTTCCTTTCTCCCTCCCCCTTTCTTCCTTTCTTCCTTCCTTCTTCCTTCCTTCCTCCTTCCTTCCTTCCTTCCTTCCTTCCTTCCTTCCTTCATCCCTCCCTCTTTCTTTCTTTCTTTCCTTCTTTCTTTCTTTCTTTCTTTCTTTCTTTCTTTCTTTCTTAGTAGATAGATAGTAGATAAAATATAAGCTGACACTACTGTTCAAATAGGTTGGTGAGATTTTTTTTAATGGTTTTGAAAGAAATCCCTTATGCTTAGTATATATATGTGTGTGATTTTGGTCACTATGAAATTCCCTTATTTCCATTTGTGTTACTGTATTTCATAGTACTTATGACTTATTGTTCTAAACTACCATTCTTAAAAATGGAAAATACTAAGTAGACAAACAAAAAAAAATACCATGGCACATGTCTATAGAAATATGTCCAAATACTATGGTAACAGCATAGATTCCTAGCGATGTTACTACTTTGGTTGGTCATTGGCACAGACACACACACAGAGAGAGAGAGACATTCTATGTCTGTGTTAACAGGGAACGAGTAAATTGAATCGTGACATTTAGGATCAGCAAGTTTATTTAAAAGGTGAAAGAATTTGTGAGAAATGAAGTGTGATAACAGTAAACTGAATGTGTTGTCAGGTCACAGTAACCAATAAAGAGCATGTTTTGATGAAGATGTATCCCTACAGCTTCAATGTGACCTTTATGAAATCTAAACCACTGCAGGATGGCAGAGCTGCCTGTTTTACACTCCTTAGCTGGAAGCTGCAGAGAATATGTTTAATAAGTATTCAGTTATTTAAAAAAAAATCCATAATTTTCATTCCGTCACCCTGATATTTGAAGCCTATATGTCAGTCTGAACAGTTCTTATTGATAAAAATGACCAGATCCATTAGGATCTTTGTGTGGTGTTATTAATCGTTCAGATAGAAATAAAATAGCTTCTATTTTTTAGGATCCCCTGGTTCGCCCTTGCACACCTCAGTCACAAAATCCGCTTCGGCTTTGACGCTTCATTGGTCAGAGGGCGTAGAAGGGGCGGGACCCGTCACGGGATATGTCATTGAGGCTCGTCCATCAGGTAAGCAGCAATTCATTGCCCATCTGCTTACTTCAGATCTACCCTTGACTTTTCAATCGGTCTTGTAAAACCAGGCTTATTCTCGATTAACCTTCCTCTTCTCACTTCCACCTCTTCCATCTTTCTCCTCCTTACGCTCCCTTTTGAAATCTTACCTTTTCAGATGAAGGATTATGGGATACATTTGTCAAGCATCTCCCACCTGGAAGCTTCTCGTACACCATCAGTTTGGACCGCCTACGTTCAGGTGTGGCCTATGAATTCCGTGTCATCGCGGTCAATCGCTTGGGCTACGGCGACCCCAGTCAGCCTTCCACCGCTATGTCTGGTAATCTTCCTCATTATATATCACACCACTGTGGCTTACTGGACAATTGCAAACAACAACCGATTCAACAGACTGCACATCTGTCCCATAGCTTTGTTTTTGTTTACAACAAATTAGATATGGCATTTATAATGACTCCAAACTATATTGCATACTTCATCAATTCATGTTAAAGGTCATTTTACAGTTTAAAGTATTAGTATGGACATTAGTACACCATTTCAGTGTAAAGTGTCTATTTAATTGATGATGTAGAGCGCTGTATATTTACTCTGCGGCCTCTGCTGCCATCTAGTGTCACACTGCAAATTCACACACATAAGGAACAAGGTTGAAATGTACAGTAAAAACAGTAATATTGTGAAATATTATTATTAGACTGATTTAAACTTTCTATTTTTATAATTTTTTAAAATGTAATTTATTCCTGGGATGATAAAGCTATATATTCAGTATCATTACTCAAGTCTTCAGTGTCACATGATGCTTCAGAAATCATTCTAATATGCTCATTTGCGTATTATTATCAATGGTGAAAAGAGTTGTTTTGCTTAATATTTTTGTGGAAACCACTTTTTTTAATTTAATATTTAAAATGTAATTTATTAAATATTTAAATAAAGTTTATTTAAAAGGTGAAAGGATTTGTGGGAAATGAAGTGTCATAACAGTAACAGTTTAAATTTAATATTTAAAATTTATTTTTTTATACGTTTCAACATTATAAATGTCTTTACTGTCACTTTTAATAAATTTAATGCATCCTTGCTGAATAAAAAAAAGAAGAAAATACAGTAGTGGCCAAAAGTCATGTCTGACCTACGAAAATTGGCTTCTTCACACTTTATCCAAACTTCTTATTAAATGTTTTGTATTTATATTGTGAAGTTGCACCTGGAGTGTAAAACTAATGTACGCATTCAACGTTTTAATTGCATCACTTGTCATGATGCAATGAAACACACCAAATTGTGTGGACGTCGTTTTTTGGCCAAGTGGTCATCCCAATCTTTCATAGCCTATAATTCTATAAATCATTAGTGTTTGCTATATTACTAGATGTTATTTTGTGAGTTTCAGTGAAAATGGCCAGAAGCAACTGTGATAAGTCATGCAGGTCTTCCAATGAAGCTCAACTTGGGAAGAAGTTGAGGAGGATTGGAAAGAAGTTAAGCACGACACATGCGTAAAGTTTAGCGAGCCAGTGCCCAGAGGAATGTCTGCTGAAATATTAATAACGGATTACATTGTAGTCCGTGTATGCTTTATTTCCTGTGGGCTTTTTGTTTTTCTATGCCTTTTTTTGCATAACACAATAAAACCATATTTAAATATATGCTGGAGTTTCCCTTTCTTGACAAATAGTTTTGTCATTTTAATACCAAGTTTAATGTATTCTTCCACCCAATTTAACATACTCCTCACATTTTGATTGATTAATAGAACCTGAAGTGTCATTAAACACAAATATTGTTCAAATGTTCCCTCCGGACATCACTTTTCACTGTACATATATATTTTATTCCCTCATGTATGTACAGTAATATGAACAATAATGCAGTATTATTGTCTGTTGTTGTAGCTCTGTCTGAAACGCCTTTCTATGAGGAGTGGTGGTTCCTGATCGTCATGGCGTTGATCAGTCTCATTCTCATCCTGATGGTTGTGTTTGGTTTGCTGCTGCTCGGACAGAACAAGAAGTACAGGAGCTGTGGAACAGGTGAGACTTTCTTAGATATAGATATATTAGAATAGGTATAGAATATTATAAAGAGAATTGATCATATTCTTGTGTTTCGCTTATATAGATAGATCTCGTTCTAACTTATGCTGTACGATCACTGTAACTTATGGTATTATCGCTGTTCTTTTGCTTCCTAGACAATTTCTGGAAGTCTTTTTAAAGAATCTAAGTGTTTGTAGTTGCTCCAATTCAGTCATTTGTGTAATTTTTGGGGAATGCTGTAAAATAAAGAGAATATAGTTAAAGGAGTAGTTCACTTTTAAAAACACTTTTGCTGATAATTCACTCACCCCCATGACATCAAAGATGTCCATGTCATTCTTTCTTCAGTCGAAAAGAAATTAAGGTTTTTGATGAAAACATTCCAGCATTTTTCTCCTTATAATGGACTTTACTGGGAACCAAACGGTCCAAGGTCCAAAAGACAGTTTCTGTGCAAACTGCAAACTGTTCAAAGGGCTTTAAACGATTCCAGATGATGAATAAGGGTCTTATCAAGCAAAACGATCACTCATTTAAAAAAAGTAATAAAAAACGTTGTTTTATAAGCACAAATGCTCGCCTTGCTCTGTTCTGTGATGCACGTTCGTGACTCTCCTGTTCGAACTCGTTCATCAGAATGAACAAATCTTTTTTCGAGTCATTTGGTTCATTCAACGGACATAATGAACGAAATGACTCGAAAAAAAGATAAGATTTGCACTGAAACTGAAACTGTCTTTTGGACCTTGAACCGTTTGGTTCCCATTGAAGTCCATTATATAGAGAAAAATCCTGGAATGTTTTCATCAAAAACCTTAATTTCTTTTCGACTGAAGAAAGAAAGACATGGACATCTTGGATGACATGGGGGTGAGTAAATTATCAGCAAAAGTTTTTTAGTTTTTTTAAAGTGAACTACTTCTTAAATCGGTCAACACATCCCAGTGTTAGTTTGCTTACATGGATGTAATTCTTCCCACAGGAAAGCACATCACTACGGTTGAAGAGTCTGTAACCCTTGACAACGGCGGCTTCACGGCCCTAGAGCTGAACAGCAGACATTTGAACGTGAAGAGCTCTTTCTTAAAGAAGAATGGATCAAGGTGTGGTTTCATCTGAACTGCTGTTTATAATAATCAAATTATGGTAATATAAAGGCTAGTATTACAGTAGTTGATGGAAATAGACTCCATGCATCGACTAAAAATCACTTTGACACTAGTTTCTGTAAAGTGGCTCAAAGGAGGCGTTAATTCTGAGAAAAGTCATGAAATCTACTATAAAAATGTATTTATCTTCTCATTTCTTCTTTAAATAGCATACATCTTCAGTTTAATTTTAATATGACTCCTTATATCACGTCATATTCAGTTTCTCAGATTATATTCAGTGTTTAGTCACAAAAACTGATCATTTAATGTTAAAGGGTCCATAATAAGAGAAGTCTTGCTTTGTTTTTGGTGTCTATTATAGGTGTTCAAAAAATGTTTCATTGTGCAAGCACCTCTTTTCCTAGTCTGTCAGTAATGCTCTGTTTACAGTAGTTCCCGTCTCTATGAAGCCCCGCCTTTAGAAAAGCTCAATGTGCTCTGATTGGTCAGCTTGACCAGTGTGTTGTGATTGGTCAACTTTTTTTTTGTGTACGATTCGGCAGAAATGATTAATATTATGGACAGTGTGACATGTTCAATCCCAGAAGAAATCTCTAGACTGCAATGGAGGCGTTTCCGTTCAGAATCTCCCTTTGGAGTGGAATTTTTTGCTTTGTAACTTCACATGACCTTTTTCATGACCAAAATGCAATAATACACAGTACACACTAAAAAATGTGAAAATGTAATCTTTAACTGCGGTGTTTGGGCCACAGGTCTCCTCCACGGCCCAGTCCAGGTGGGCTCCACTATTCTGATGAAGACATCTGCAACAACTACAATGGGGCTGTTTTAACAGAGAGCACCACCCTCACAGAGAAACCAACTGAGCTGTCTGAGTCAGAGGTAAACACATGATAACACACACAGACACACTGCCATGGGGGTACGAAGGAGTTTTACAGACATCTTTTGTTTTAATAATCATTATCATCAAAATGTTCCAAACCTGTATGAATTTCTTTCTTCTGCTGAACACAAACAAATATATTTTGAAGAAGGCTGGTAACCAAATAGTTGATCGTCTCTAATGACTTTCTTAGTATTTTTTTTTTTAACCATACTATGGAAGTCAATGGTGACCATCAACTTTCTTTTCAAAATATGAAGAGTTCAGATGCAAAAGCCTCTAAATGTCATTTGAAATTTTCTTCAAGAATGTTAATTTTTATCAAGCTTGTATATTTAAGTAAAGTAATTTCACTTAAATGGCAATGAAGATTACCTATGAATTGCCATTTAAGTGAAATTACTGAATTTAAATATACAAGCTTGATAAAAATGATTATTCTAGAAGAGAATTTCAAATGGCACTTAGAGGCTTTTGCATCTGAACTCTTCATATATTTCTTTGTGTTCAGCAGAAGAAAGAAATTCATACAGGTTTGGAAAAACTTGGGGTGAGTAAATGACAGAATTTTCATTTTTGGGTGAACTATCCCTTTAAAAAGTCGTGAACATGATATTAAAATGTTTCCCCTCATGTCATGTACTAACCTGACTTCGTCATAGTCATATTCTATTCATAATGTGAGTCTAATACTGCTTCATAGGGCTTTGATTATGAGGCGTGTCTTAAGCGAACTATGGAAAAAAAAACCCCTCTGCACTCAATTGGATAGACCTACAACCAATCAGAGCAAGTGACGTATGTTGAGTGACTCGCTGACAATAGTTGTCAACAGAACTGAACTGCACGCACTCTGGAAAAAGTATTTAAAAGAAAAATCAATGAGTGTTAATGACCTTTGCAGGTGTTTCAAAAAGAATTTAAGGATTCGCGGAGTACTTGCAAACTCGAAAAACATTTTTGAACGAAATAGAAAATGCGAGTTATACGAACAAGTTCTCCGTTTAGAATTAGATCTCGACAATAAAGCCAACAAATCTGCTAGCATTTGTCGGACCTGTATCAACTTTATAACACGATTGGAGCACGACTTGACTGATTTTAATAAATGGAGAGACGACGAAAGAGACCAGGGTGAAGAAGCGTGTTCATTTGAGTCTTCAGAGAAAAGAGACCGGGAGCCAAAATGATGTTTTAATGATGTATTTAATGATGATTTAATTACAAAATGATGAGTAGCATCATCTAATATTTTTTTTAAAAAATACACCGCTTATAATTTCGGTTGCTTCTTTTACTTGGTCTTCCTTGAGTGCGACCAAAGGAGAAACCACAATGACAACTGGCTTTTCATTGCGTCCCATCTTCTTAGCGACCATCGAAGCCAGCTGATAAATTAAACTTTTGCCGAATCCTATAGGAAGGACGGCAAACACATCTTGACGATCGACAAATGCCTTTATTGCAGTTCTCTGTTCGTCTTTTAAAATTAACGCGCTGTTGATTTCTTTCTAAAACAGACGCGATAGCGGAATCTATACATCTCAATTCTCCAGCTGCAGTCATCTTTGTTGTAAACCAGTTCAAACTAAAGGAGTAGTTCACTTTTAAAAAAAAACTTTTGCTGATAATTTACTCACCCCCATGTCATCAAAGATATCCATGTCATTCTTTCTTCAGTCGAAAAGAAATTAAGGTTTTTGATGAAAACATTCCAGGATTTTTCTCTATATAATGGACTTCAATGGGAACCAAACGCTTCAAGGTCGATAAGACCTTGTCCAAAAGTCATGGTCCAAAAGTTTCAGTGCAAAATGCAAACTGTTCAAAGGGTTTTAAAGGATTCCAGACGATGAATAAGGGTCTTATCAAGCGAAACGATCGCTCATTTAATAAATAAATAACAAAGTTTAAGTTTTATAAACTCAAATGCTCGCCTTGCTCTGTTCTGTGATGCACGTTTGTGACTCTCCTGTTCGAACTTGTTTATCAAAATCAACTAATCTTTTTCCGTGTCATTTGGTTCATTCAACGAACGAAATGAACGAGTTGACTCTGGAAAAGATTTGTTCATTTTGATGAACGAGTTCGAACAGGAGAGTCACGAACGTGCATCACAGAACAGAGCAAGGCGAGCATTTGAGTTTATAAAACTTAAACTTTTTTATTTCTTTTTTAAATGAGCGATCGTTTCGTTTGATAAGACCCTTATTCATCGTCTGAAATCGTTTAAAGCCCTTTGAAAAGTTTGCAGTTTGCACTGAAACTGTCTTTTGGACCCTGAACCGTTTGGTTCCCATTGAAGTCCATTATATGGAGAAAAATCCTGGAATGTTTTCATCAAAAACCTTAATTTATTTTCGACTGAAGAAAGAAAAACTTTTTTTTTTTTAAAGTGAACTACTTCTTAAGCGCTCATTGATGACGTGATGATTCCGTAACTGCAGATCATCGTTTAAAGCCCGCCCTGGCAATTTGATTGGCCCGACCATTTTTTTACTGATCATAATTACTCCTCAATGGATCGAGTCCAGACCGAACTTCCTGACCAAAACATGTCATGGGCGGGGTTCGGACTGGCATCCAGGCTAGTCATGTATGGGACTACTCTATTGCTACAGTGGCATCGGTAACTTAAAACAACTTTAGGTTATGCTTCATCCATGCCAGTAAGTGTCACTATAAGCCCAAGACCACCATCGTGCCAGTCTGATAAACAAAAACTTTCTTTGTACATCTTTAAACACTCAGGCAACAATTACGTTCATGCTGTAACTTTACTGTCTGCTCTTTTCCTCTCTGGTTTGGACCCGTGCCGTCCCGTCCCCCCTCATGTAAAGGTGAGCGACAGCGACTACGAAGATGATCAGCCCAAGCACTCGTTTGTAAATCACTACATGAGCGACCCCACCTATTACAACTCGTGGAAGCGGCAGCCCAAAAGCGTGAAGACCGGAGGAGGGTACGAGGAATGTGCCATGACGGATGCAGAGGGGGGGTATTATCAGACTGTGGTGACCCAGCACAGCGTAGGGGGCGTCTACACCCCCACAGGGCAGCCCGCACCAGGAACACGCACTCCAGTTACCGGCTTCTCCTCGTTTGTCTAATGAACCGATGAATTGATACAAACGGGGGAGCCGGTGACGGAAAGTCCGGGACGAATCAAACTGTCGGGAGTAACGACAAAGAATGCTTTTTCACAGAAGTCTCTCGTTTCCCCCGAAGCGTGTATTTTAGGCCTCCTCTCTTCAAGGAAGGGAGGGGGGTGTTGAAGTAACTTATTGTTAACGTGTTAATGATTTTCGGATGGATTTTCGCAGATTAACCATGACCCAGAAGAAGCGGAGACTTTGCACTGTGAGACTCTTTAGCAAGAGGTGGTATTAATTTTAAAGACTCAAAGACCCTCAAAAACGGATGATGGGAATTCCTTTGTTGTGAATTCCCATCCATAGCAACCTTCCGGGATTAGTCGTAGCGTGTGGGCAAACACACGCTTGAGTGATTCATTGAATCCCGCTCTGATCTCCAAAACTCGAAGTTGAAACATCACCGAAAACTTGTACAGTGAGTGGTAGACTGGAACAAAAATGTGTTTTGTGTGTGGTTTATTCTCGTGTCTGGGACGGGCGGCATCATTCTGGACAAAAAGCAGCACTGAAAATACTGCCTTTGCACACGTATAGCTCTCTCTTAAACCAAAAGTGGGAAAAGAAAGAAAATGTGTGCTCACAGCGGACCGTTTTCTTAGGTTAGCAATACTGTATGTAAAATATTCTGTATGTGTGTATATTTTTAGGATCAATTTTGTACAAAAAAAACGAAGCGTTTTTACTGTAGAGTAGATGTTTGTGCCAAGTCGATGTAGTTCTTTAGTGATACCCACAGCGGATCATTTCAGCAAGTCACAATCCACACTGTTTGTTTGACTGGCTTGCAGTGTATGTACAATCCAGTCACCCAGAGAGAGGATAAGAAATGTGGGAATTCGTCCTTCTAATCCAAATATACACATATTTCTCATCTCAAATATGAACAAATATTTATTGCAGTATGAAAGAGCATCAGAGCTAAATGGAATACGGTACACGTGATGGTAAAACGGGTGTGTGGAGGTTTTGTTGGTTGGAGTACATCGATGGTTAAAGATATAGGCTGGTAACCAAAAGGTTATTATGAGATAAGGAGACCATACAATCATAACTATGTCATGTGTCGTGTTCAAGTTAATATATGACTTATAAAGTCGAAACTATGATATTAAAAAGTCAAAACTATGACCGCAATTATTATGAGATAAAGTCAAAATTATGAGATTGAAAGGCAAAATTATGTCGAACAATTATTACATGAAAGTCAAAACAGAGATAAAAAGTCAACATCAAAATTATGAGATAAAAAGTCAATATGAGATAAAATGTTGAAAATATGAGATCATAATGGTAACCAAAAGGTTATTATGAGATGATGATGTATTCAAGTCCTGCTGATACCATGCAATCATAACTATGTGATGTGTGTTCAAGTCAATATATGACATATAAAGTCGAAACTATGACATTAAAAAGTCAAAACTATGACCGTAATAATTATGAGATTGAAAGGCAAAATTATGTCGAACAATTATGACAGTCAAAATTATTGAGTTGAAAACAATTATAACACGAAAGTCAAAACAGAGATAAAAAGTCACGACACCAAGTCGACAAAAGTTAGCATCAAAATTAAGAGATAAAAAGTCAATATGAGATAAAATGTTGAAATTATGAGATCGTAATGTGAGATCATAATATAAGCTGGTAACCAAAAGGTTATTATGAGATCATGAGACCATTCAATCATAACTATGTCATGTGTGTTGTTCAAGTCAATATATGACATGTAAAGTTGAAACTATGATATTAAAAACTCAAAATATGACTGTAATAATCATGAGATAAAGTCAAAATTATGAGATTGAAAGGCAAAATTATGTCGACCAATTATGACAGTCAAAATTATTGACTTGAAAACAATTATAAAATGACAACAAGCCAAAACAGAGATAAAAAATCACGACACCAAGTCATTATAACATCAAAAAGTCAACATCAAAATTATGAGATAAAAAGTAAATATGCGATAAAATGTTGAAATTATGAGATGAAAAAGTCATTTTTTATAATTATATTATAATTATGATTTCGAACTTGACTTTTTATCTATGGAGCTTGAATATAAGAAGTTTCCCTGTATTTTCGACTTTCGACAAGGTGGCATTCATGTGAAACTCATAAGTGTGACCATTCTGACATGACTTGAACGCAACATATGGCTTAAAACATACTCTACGCAAGTATATGAACATGTGTCCAGTTATGCAGTATCGATTTCACACGTTTCGTTCAGAACAGTTTTGTAAAGTATCACTGTGAATAGGTACTACATTTGAATTGACTTTGCAACCATTAAAAAAGTACTATGGGTAGAATGAATGCAATTTGTACATACCACATCCGCCATGTTGTTACTGTCAGGTGACCTACCAGCTTCAGTTATGTCCATTCACAAATCCTCTATTGACAAATAATAAAGTGTCCATCGAATACACACTTCAAAATCTCAGTGGAAATAATAGGTCATCCAGGGACTTTTCGTCTACCATTTTCCAATTCCAAATATTATTCGGACATTTGCTATTCTGTTTTTCGCATACTATAAGGTATAGGGAAGTATTTGATTTCAGACACAGCAGCTGCATCTGAAATCGCGTACTTCCCTAGTATAGTAGGCAAAAAAACTGAAGTTTGTCCGAATTCACAGTACTCACAAAAGAGTCGGCAAAAATTATCCGAAAGACATATTACGTATACCCATGAGGCCACGGGAGAAGATTTGTGAACGTCAGTGAAGCGCAACTGACGCTGGAAGGTCACATGATAATGACAACATGGCAAAAGTACTGTAGTACGTCCAGATTACATTCATACTATGTAGAATGTACTTTTTTAGCGTTCGTGAAGTATTACTTATTTATGCGAGAGTATGCGATTTCGGACCGAGCCAGCATATGTGTCATGGCGGAGTAACACTTTGAAGAGATTGTAACTGCATAAACATCTGCTTGTGTAGAATATGGTTCCATGGCTGAAGAATCCAATTCTATTCTATGCATTTATTGTCATTTAAAACGGAGAAACAGACGAGGACAGATTTCTGCCTGTGTTGAACATCCAGATGGGAAATACCTAATGTTACATCCAAAGATAGAGCTATGCAAGGTGTTATTGATCGGAATGAGTCAGAGAGAGTAATATGCACTTCAAAGCAGGTTGTTAACACTTTGAAAAGTTGTTACTGGAATGTTATGCCTCCTACAGCTGTATTACCCACAATGCATGTTATACAATATGCACCTGAGGGCAGCATAATGGATTTAACTGGATTACTCATAATTAAAATGAGTAAGGGTCAAAAAAAGTATGTGCATTGTGACTTTACACTCACGAAAGTAAAGAAAAAAATGATGTTGGCCTTTAAAAACTCGTATTATTATAGTATGTGTCACTCTGGATCTTTTATATTTTGCACTGGAAAGCACCACTCACATTCAACTAAAAATCCCCAAATACTGTAGGCCACATTAAGCCACACATGCTCTATAAATGTGACTTTACTCATGACATGAGTAATGTTGTGTTCATATTTTTGCTGCCATTATCCTCCTGGCTGGTATTTTTACTTATAACTTATTGGTGACTAAATGCCCAAAATAGTGTGCTGTGTGTACATGATGCAGACAGCAGAAATATCATCTCTTGTACTCTTATGACACATTCACTGATGAGATACGCAGTGGCCCCAAACATATTTGGACACTTAATGATGTGTGAAGGTTTTGCATTACATTTACAGAATTTTTAATAGTATAATGCATTGACATTCATACATTTTTAAGTGTGGTTTAAGTGTCCAACCCCTGGTTTCACAGACTGCTAGTCCCATGCATGCTTCAACTGAAAGCAACTGACAATATGGCAGTGCCGTTGTTTGTCTCAAGATGTGCATCAGTAATGTTTTTATTTTCTAAGGCACATTTAAATGTCCTTATTGAACTAAGGCCTAATCCTGGCTTAATCTAAGCCCTGTCAGTAAAACCAGGCCAACATGTTTTTTGGCTTACTGTAAAGAAAGAACACTGTATCACTGTATTCCTGATATCATTGTAGTGCACTTGTTTTACTATGATTAAATGGATGAGATACTCATTTTACAGAAAATGCTCCAATTTCTAGTCTCAAACACTCCATTAAAACATTCTCATGCCGTTCAGCAGTTTTTGTCTTTCAGATCTGATCAGTAGAACGGAAGTGATCCAATGAAATGTGTTGAGGCGGTAGGTGTCATTTTCTGACTTGTTTGCATTGGTTGCTATAGCAATGCAGACGGTTTCAAAGTGAAGTGACTTTTTGTATAAGTGGACGTAAGATGGCAGAATGAAGAGAGCTGTCTCACTGGAAAACTAGCATAATAGTCTGGCAGCAGTGCAGTGAGAAGGCACAAGTGATAGATGGAATATGCAGTTTATTTGGCATGGTAGCTATGTATGCTACATGTTAGCTTAATTACAAAAATCAGATTTTTGATTACATATTATTTATACAATGGCTGTAAATTATTTATAATTCATTGATTCTCCCTATTAGACCTTGTTTGGCAGGAGACCTAGAGATTGGCATGGGGTACTTTCCATTAGATCATCTTTCAGTGCATATCAAACTAGCTATTATGCTAACTGAAATAAAACCATGCCATAATAGGTATGGTGAAGGGTGTGTGATGATGTGGGGATATTTTAATTCCAAAGGCCAACGGAACTTTATCCGGATGCATATTATCCTGGATTCATGAAATAACTGGCCTTTAAAAATAAAAATCTTCCTGACTCTATGGGAATTCAACATAGCGGTGTCCTGACTAACACACCCTGTATTTTAAGGAAGAACATTTATTGATTTATGATACATTATTCATTCACAAAGAAAATATGTATCTTTAAAGGTTGGATTTTTCCTCATTTTTCTAATTAAGGGATTAAGATCAATTTCCAAAAGATGATTTTTTTATTCCTCTTTTTAGTCAACTTTAGCATGGGTGTCCAAACTTATTCACATCACTGTATATTGTATTAGTGATATCAACGTTCTCTGAAAAAAAAAAAAGTGATCGTTTCGCTTGATAAGACACTTATTTATCGTCTGGAATCATTTAAAGCCATCTGAACAGTTTGCATGGAAACTGTCTTTTGGACCTTGAACTGTTTGGTTCCCATTGAAGTCCATTATATGGAGAAAAAATCCTGGAATGTTTTCATCAAAAACCTTAATTTCTTTTCGACTGAAGAAAGAATGACATGGACATCTTGGATGACAAGGGGGTGAGTAAATGATCAGCTAAAGTTTTTTTTAAAAGTGAACTACTCCTTCTCAGATACTATGATGAGAGTAAATAACAGCACAGAACTTTGTAAAGTATTTATTCATGTTTACTCCCGATAATATTTGCACAGATAATTCAAATGAAAATAGCACACAGTCAGCGTCATTCAAGAAGTGCATTGCAATATTTAGAGCTTCATGGAAAAAGTTTATATAAATATCTCAACTTGTCAGCAAAGCGTTTAGGTCATATTTAAAAAAAAAATGCTTAGGAAATGGTGAGTGGTGGATGTTCCTTTAAATGCAACAATATGTCACTTTCATCCAAATGCTTTTTTCAGCCATTTCTCATTCTCAGACTGACGGATCTCAGAGAACACCATATGGCATTGCAGTATTTATGGCCAATGAAAGAGTTTCTCTCATTTATTCCATCAAGAGTTTCTCTGCCTCTCCCAAAGCTCTCTCCATTTCCTCCACATCCAAAGTGAACCGTGTCCTCTCCTGCTGGAGCTTTTCATGCACTTCCGTCAGGTCCCTCATTGTGTTCTGCACTTCCTGGAAGCAAACCGAGATTGACAGTATCCTCACTGAACCCATTCTAGGTCATGCCATATTCTAGTAGTTTTGAGGAGGTGCATTTAGGGTCAATAGCATTTAGAAGGATTAGAACATTTCAAATTAATATTTCATCAGCAGTGTACCTGGTGTAATGATTAATTATACAGCCTCTAGCCCAGCAGAGCAAAATGTGTTTAATTTCATCCTCATATAAATCAGTCTTCGCGAAACATTTGTATTAATGTCTGGTCAGTGCCGCAGGACATTCAAATCAGGATAAATAACCTACAATTTTTAATATTAAAGGAGTAGTTCACTTTTAAAAGAAACTTTTGCAGATAATTTACGCTCAAATGCACGCCTTGCTCTGTTCTGTGTGATTCTCCTGTTCGAAGGCAAGCATTTGAGTGTATAAAACTTAAACTCTGTTTTTTTTTTTTTAAATGAGTGATCGTTTCGCTTGATAAGACCCTTATTCATCGTCTGGAATCGTTTAAAGCACTTTGAACAGTTTGCAGTTTGAACTGAAACTGTCTTTTGGACCTTGAACCGTTTGGTTCCCATTGAAGTCCATTATATAGAGAAAATCCTGGAATGTTTTCATCAAAAACCTTAATTTCTTTTCGACTGAAGAAAGAATGACATGGACATCTTGGATGACATGGGGGTGAGTAAATTATCAGCAAAAGTTTTTTTTTTTTTTTTTTTTAAAGTGAACTACTCCTTTAAAAACAAAGAATACTAATACTCACCAGTAAATTTGCTGCATGCTCTAGTGCCGTCTCACTGAACAGTTTCAGCTCAGCCAGGAGATTTTGAGAAACGTTCTGCCATTAGAAAAAAAGGGACAACTTTTATTTAACTGAGGGCCAATGTGACTCTGGTTTAACACTAGCCTTGCACTATCAGGACTGATTCTCAAGGGAAAACATGCTATAGACTAGAATTAGACTTCATCTGTATTCAAGAATGGAGTCTTAAATGTCTGCTTTTAAATCAGAAAAGTAATCAGACCCCAAAAAAGCAAATAATCTGGTGTGGCGGTATAACAGATTATTGTACAATATGGCTGATTATATAATCAATCCCTATATGTGCCTGCAGTGACCATTAGTCCATGTATCAGTATCTCATGTTGCCAAAAGGCAAAGAATTGGCATTATTGCAATTCATCTATAACTTTAATGAAAGGTTTTAATCCACTTCAAATGTTGACTACTGTATATAGGATACCAAGATAAATATTTATCAATTGAAAAATAGCATATTAATAACATAAAAATATACAAATACAGAAATCAAAATGAGTTACCATAACTTCTCGTCTTTGCTCTTCCTTCTGTTGTGCTGTCTGACCCAACTTTTCTCCTGAAACTGAATTTGAGGCTGTTTTGATTAGAACAGAACACACTGCTCTTGTTCATGTGTCAATACAACAGAGCAATACAATAAATCACCACCTGGGTCAAGCTTTTCTGCAACGAGGAGGACATGGCAGTCTCGCAGCTGTTTTTGAATTTCTCGATTTTCTCCTTGAAGGTCTGTGCATCGCAGCTCCAGTTCAGTCACCGTTTCCTTCAGAAACATGATTGTTTTGAGTATTAAATGTATTTGACTCAACTGACTTCAGCAAATATTTTTATATGACATTGTACACTATAATTAATCTGTCTTTAATCCATTTGGGCAAAACACTAAACCAATGATTAGTGTAATCACCTTCATTTCTTCAAGCTGTCTCTGCAGGTCTTCATTTGTCGTAGTCAATGCTCGATTCTGCTCCCTTATGTCGTTTTGTTGCCCATATCTAGTGGTTGGCCTAAGAAAATCAGAATAGTATACATTTCCTTTTTATACAGACTGGACAGTATTATCTTACTAGAAGACTATCATTTCACACCATGGTACTTACACTTTCAGAGTCCTGTGCTGGCTCTTCCTGAAAAAATATTAAATAGATATTTTATTTTATTTTAAATAAAACTAGGCGTTGAGGTAAAGGCAATATTTGCTGAACGTTTGAACAATGATGCCCACTTATTGTCCATGTCGTTCTTGACCTGTGCGGCTCTGGGCTGTGCAGAAATCGCAGTGTCTTTCATCTGAACTCTCTTCATGTCTGAATGTACGTTAGCTTTCTGGAGAAACAGAGAATGTAACTTGCTGCTTTTAATATTTAAGATTAGATATTAAGATATTTATCTTAAGATACTTAAGATTTTAATACTGATGGAGGCGATGATATACAATTACACGAAAACAACGACTAGCTACCGGTATTACATTAACACCGTGTATATACACATACGTAATGTCAAGAAATTAAGTTTGGTGGTTGATGTATAATATATATATATATATATATATATATATATATATATATATATATATATATATATATATATATATATATATATATCGAAACTATGCACTAGGCTTACATGTCACACTTCGCTTCTGTCTCGTCAAATTTTTCTAACCGTAAATGCAGTGCGTTTTCTTACTACAAGATCTCACATCGTTAATCCACAGTGATTAAATAAAGATTTTAAAGTTTGTATGAATGTGTAATAAACTTACCAAACGTAGCTAATATCGATCTGCAAATAACGTTTTAAAAGCGCCTTCAATTTTCAAAATAAACAACGTCACTTCCGCTTCCTTTACCAACGCGTTTCATGGCTCTGGTTTCGAGGTTTTGACTGAGATTCATTTATAACGTTAAAACTGAATGTATGTGTATACACATATATAATGTTGTAAGATTCTACAGAGGAAATTAATCAAAACAAATAGAATATCACGCGAAACAGTTTTTATTTTATTTAAAATGGTTAATACAATTTTCATCCGCTCCACTAGAGGTCGCGAGAGCGGCGTGTCTGGTCTCACGTCAAGTCACTAAAAGCGTGAGGAAGAAACGCGGCGGTTGATTTCAAATTTTGTGAAGAAAAAAAGACAAGCAGCGGATGGAGGGAACTTACTTTTAGGTATTGTGCTTTAATTATACATTTTCAACTGCTAATCTGTCGTGGGATGCAGTTTATGAAAGTAATAAATGTTTTAAACTTGTTGAAATATCGAGGGCTGTTTGTTGCCTTTGGTGTAATGTTGCTGTTGTTGTTCTGAGCGTATGAATGTCTCGTCTGACAGACAACAGACACTGTCACTGGATTCAACAAAACTTGAGGAAATACAGAACTGTGACTGTAATGTAGATAATATTTTGCCTAGAGTTATTAAAGCAAATCACCCAAACGTTTTATTTGTTTATTTTATGTTTCATTTCAGGTTACTTTAGTGTTTCTCATTTTTAATACAGTGCGCTGTATTATGCGCATGCATTGAAGATGGAGCCGCTGAATTCAGGGTAAGTTGATGTTGTCTGTGTGTTTTGGCATGCTTTCGATGAATAATGCATTCTTATTCTTACACTTATTGACTCTGTAAAACTGATTCGCTCCCCGCATGTCCAAAATGTTCAAAGATTATTTAATGCTTTTTACTGTTGAGGGCCTCAGTTCAAACTGAAAACAGAGTTCAGTTAACGTTTTGATACACCAATAATACGTTTCCATTTGCTTTGCTCTCCTGCAAATGACAAAATTGTTGTATTTCTATTTATGAGCTCACACCTAATAAAACAAGTCTAATATTTTTGGCATATTAAGCATTCAGAATTCTTTGAAAATGCAAAACCATCCTCTTAAACTTAAATCTAACTCACATTTTAATTTGGCGTTGTTGTGCACTTTGAATATGACAAATTGCTTTCGATATTCTCTATTTGCAACTGTCATATTGGATAAAAGCATCTCCTTATGTAAATGTGCATGTTTATTAGGTAAATGGTTTTCTTTCCAGGTAAATTTCATAATAATTTGTTATCCTAAAAAAACTAAACAAAAAACTTGTGTTCCTGATACTAATCCTGATACTTTTTCCAGCAGTGAGGCAGTGAAATCCTCAAGAAGGAGACTTTCTTCGGTAAGTATCCAGTATGTTGTGAAAATGTGACACTTTCTGATGATTTATCCTTTCTGTTGTTTGTATAATCCAAATGGCTTCACAATTGTCACATACTAGTTTAGGATGAACTTAATGCTGATTTTTTTTATTAATCTAAGAATATAGACCGTAATGATAGGTGATTAAGCTTAATTGTGCCAATTTACCTGTATTCACTCATTTGCAGCCTGCAAGTGTCTTCACAGTTTTTTTGTTTGTTTTGTTTTTTTATATAAATTTCTAATTGTCTCAAAACAGTAAATAGTTCCTCTTGATTGTCCTCTGACAGATTTTAAAAGCTTCTCGGACATCTATGAAAGTACTTGGATCTGAGCAAGAGGAGCAAAAGGTGATAAAGGTACAAACAATTTAATACATTTTTTGTTTTAATTCTCTTAAAATATATATATATATATATATATATATAACATTACTATGTGTGTATGTTTATGAAGGAGGAAATTGCCAAACCTGTAGAAAAGAAGAGAAATTCGCGAAGAGTGAGTTTTGCCTCTACAAATAATGTTCGAGTCTTTACAAAGTAAGTGCAATAATGTTGACCCCAAATAACGTTGAAACTAAATATAGTTAGATATAGTTCATTTACGATGTTTAAATTTTCACAGTGATGCAAAAAGTGAATCTCCTGTTCTGGCATCCATACAAAACACACTTGTTGGTAAGCACTGAGCATTTTTCTTGTTTAAATGTTTCTTGTTTTTAACTTGTTCTAGTTTTTATGTGATGTAATTGGTGGGTCATCATGGTTAAGGATTATGTGTACCTGTTCTGTAAAATGAAAAGTATAAAATATTTCTGTTGCAACTTGCATATATAAAACACTGACACACTGTTATTTGCTTTATTGTGTTCTGTTAAATTTATCAGGAGATAGACCAGATGAAAAGTAAGTAATTGATTATACTATTTCATTGTTTTCTAACCGACATGTTGTTCAAGTTTAAACATGTTTGAAGCTTTTGTGTATCCAAATGAAAATCTGTTGACTTTCTTTTTTCCTCTAATGACAGGATTCTGCGTTTTGTTGAGGGAAATCACCAAATCAAAGGTAGTTTTCAAGAAAAATTGTCAAATATTGCTGATCAATTGGGACCATTCTTCTCCAATCTTGTTTGCATTGCATGTGTAATTCAAAATTAGAGTGTGTGTTCACTTATGCATAATTGCATTAATGTTGTTCACTGTAAAATAATCTATTGATCTCATGCTTGTATTTACTTACTTCCTGTTATTATTCTTATTAAAATAAAAAAAGAAGAAGAAATTATTTTATTATTCTTATCTTACTTTTATTCTTATTCTTATTACAATTATTCTCTTAGTCAGAAAGTGAACCACTAAATCTTTCCATTTCTTTCAGGCCTGGAAACTTTGTTGAACACTCCTCTTTATCTATCGCAGCATAAGGTAAGTACTAATCTAAGGCTGCAGAGGCAAAAATATTATGGATTTTTTAGACTTCTGCAGTTTATGACATCCCTGATTAAACTAAGGATATGCTGCCACAGACATTTAATTTGGAGTGTGTGAGCGTACAACATTTGATGATTATCAGTACCTACTACTGAGTTTTTGTTTTAATGTCTCAATGAAACCCATCTTGTCTTGACGCATGCTGATTATTTTTTACCTTTCTCTCTCAAATTGTAGGAGAATTTCTTCTCTGACCCAGTCTTACAAGATGACTGTGTGGATAGAACAATGCTGCTCGGAGAGAATACTGGATACATGGATATTACTCAAAGTCACACAGTCATAATTGATAAGGATTATGAAATTGAAGAAGAACCAAACTCAGATTGTTGCTTCAAAGTGGCTCAGACAGTCTGTGGTGATCTAAATGTTGCAAGTCTGAAGGGTTTTCCACGTGAAGCAAAAGCAGAGAGTAAAAAAGCTGCAACAGACCCAGACTTTAGTGCTTTTCTCTCCGGTATGTGCTTACCCACTGTAAGCACCATTAAGCCCCCAAATTCAGAAAATAAGCTGGAAAGTGTCTTCTGTTCAGCCAGTACAAGCACAATGGAAATTGATAAGGAGAATCTCTTACCATCTTTTTTAATGAAGCAAAATCCAGGTGGCATGGGTAACCCAAAACAACCACAAGGCCTTCAACGTAGACGATCCCGTGTTACGTTTGTTGAAGATGATGATATAGAGACAACCATGAGTCACACTGTTGTAATTGAAACCAGAAATGAAGTTCAGCCTCTTGCATCCTCCATTTCTGAAAATCAAGGAAGTGTTAAAGTTACAGGAAATATCACTCGCAATGTCCAGGCAGCTCTGGATCGCAATAGATCCCATTGTTTATCTGAGGATGACAATGCGATGGAGATGACAGGGTGCGTTGATTTAGCTGTTCGAGAAAAAGACCACACAATGAATATGAAGGAGCAGTCTCAGTCTCCAATTCCCAAAGTAAGAAGGATGTCATCCTTTAATGTGATTGGAAATGGGGAGACAACAGATCAAAACATTGCTGGTTGTTTTCAGAGCAATCTCTCAATAGTCAAAACTGCTAATTCTGATGATATGGAGATTACTGGGGTTTTAGATGTATCTATTCGAGAAAAAGAGGACATTCTGTTTCCCAAACTAAGCCGTAGATCCACTCTTGATGCTTTTGGAAATGGAAAAATAGTGGATCAAAACAAATCTGGCTACAACTTGATAGCTCCAACTGCTAATAATGATGTTACAGAGAAGACACAGTCACAGGCTGTTGCTTTCGTGGCCAAACCATCAAGTGGCAACAAGCCATTTAGCAACTCAAGGAAGAGTTTCTCTCTTGCGTCTGTATCCAGAACTGTTCAAGAAGATGAGCATGCGGCCATTGTCAAGGAGGAAGCTCTGCATCCAATATCCAGAGGAAGCAAGATGTCCTGTTTTAATTTGGCTGGAAGTGAAGAGATATTGGATCACAACAAATCAGGCCACCTCTCCATTGCCCAAACTGAAAATTATGATGATATGGAGATGACACAGTGTCAATCTATTTTTCCCGAGGCTAAACAGGTCAGTGGAGACAAATCATTAAGCAACTCAAGGAAAGATTGGGCTCATACATCGGTATCCAGAACTGAAGACGGTGATGGGATGGACATTACTCAAGGGTTCACAGGGCGTATAATACTAAATGCTCCTTCAGGCACCAAGAATGAAAGAGGTGAAAGCAATCTGATACCTGCTACATCACCTAAACATAATGAGAGTGACTGTATGGACTTGACATGCCAACCAAGTACTTTTGTTGGGATTTCACCCCCAAGCCCTGATGAAATGGATTTGACTGTATGCAACACTATGAACATTGACTCAAACCGGGCCTGTTTAGGAAGTGCTGATACAGGTACAGTACCTTTCTCCGCTAATCAAACTATCACTGTTGTTGTACCTATGGAGATGACTGAAGTACATATGGCACCAGTCAGTGAGCAAAAGCGTAAAGCTTTAATGACTCGAAGAAAGTCAGGAGCAAGGATGGTGTCCTTGATGTCTTATCCTGAAAATACTAAAGCTGATAACTGTCAGACCAATTTCTCCAACCCTGATGACATGGACATGACACAATGTCAGACTGTTGTGCTTGAGGCTGAATACGGCAGACCATTCAGTAAATCAAGGAAAAGTTTGAACCTTGTATCTACATCCTCCAGTCATGATGTTGACAGTATGGAGATAACCCAGGCACTCACCGGGAATATCATGTTAAAGAGCTTTGTATCCAATAAGGAAAGAAAGCATGAGAGTAATCTGTTACCTACAGCACAAAGCTGTCAAAGGCAGGATGAGTCTGACTGCATGGAACTGACTTGTCAAGCCAGTGCATCAAATCTAGCTATCCCATGTGTTGATGATGAAATGGAATTAACTAGATGCAACACAATTGTAGTTGACTTAAAAAGCACATTGGCAGCAAATGCTTCAGAGATCAAAGCAAATGAAAGTGCCCTTTGGGCATCAACATCTGTTTATAGATGCACAGTGTCAAGTGAAGAACAAAATGAGGTGATTGAAGCTGCCAAGTGTGCTATTAACCCTGTCTTCCCCCAAAACATGTTTTTGATCTGGATGGCAAAAACCTTAAATGCAATAATACAGAAACAATGTCAAATAACCCAGCTGTCATGCAAGTGAACAAATACGACGAAATGGCACATCCAAGCAATGTGATGACGATTGATGACGAAAATGACATGCAGATTACAAAGATGCTAACAATACCCATTGAAATGGAGAAAAGTGTTTTGTTTGACCAGAAAGAAGCCAATGTAAACACTTCCAATGCTTCTAAAAATGAAGAGGAGAGTCAAGTTATTTGGTCTAACAAGGAACAAAGTACAAGCTCAGTCCAAATGAAGGTTCCTCCTCAAATGAGTCCGTAGCTGATTCCTTCAGTAAAGAAGAACTAAAACCTGTGAAAGCAAGACGGAGAAGTCTAGCAGATTTTCAAACGGAGCTTCAAAATATTTCACGACGTATCCAGGAAGAGAACAAAGTCTCTGAAAGTCTCAAAGAAACTGCGCCTCTACCGCCTTGTTCTTTCTCAGAGATTTCCCTTAAAGAGCAGTGTGAAACTGAAATTTCTATTGAGCCAGCTTCAAATGCCACACCTAATGTCAAGCAGAAAAATAATTCGGTTCTAAATGAGAAGACCACACCTTTTAGTCTAAAAAAGCCGTTCTCATCAAGGTTGTCATTGTGTGGTATCATGCCAAAACTACCGAAACGAGCTTCAACTGTAACTCCAAACAAAACTGTGACCATTGGTTTTAATGATTTACGATGTCTACAACTAGAGAAACATTTTGATGTTGTTGAACAAAATGGCAAATGCAAAACAGTCAATATTAATGACGAAGAGTTACCTGAAATGAGCAGTGAAGACGATATATCAGGGAGTCTTGAAAATTGGCCAATTAACAAGCAAGATGACCTGGATGGCTCTTTGGCTGTACCTATAAAGGAAGAGCTTTTTGAGGATGAGGTCTTTGAGGCAGACACGAGCACGAGTCCATGCTTTAAAAGGCCTTATCCAGAGGAAGATGCTAATACATCAGAACAAACCAAGAAAGCCAACATTTCTGACATGGTATGAACAAAATATACATTTTTTAGTTTAATACTATGATTGCTTGGTATTTCCTGACACATGCTTGGAGGTTGTTCTGTAATAAAGTGTTAAGCGTGGGTTCTATTGTGCATTATTATGCTAATGCCTGAGATTCTGTCTCCTCAGGGGCCTGGCTGTCATGAAGCTGCTGTACAGTGGGAAGGTAATTTTACACGGCATGCTGCTCAAAATCCCAAGGCAAAGAAAATTGAAGATACAGGAGTCTCTGAGTCCAGTGAGTTGCTTGTGTCAGTTACTGTTTATGCTGTTAATGAACGAATGTTTATGAATGAATGTTTAATTTTTTTTTTTTATGCACTCTATGCAAGAAGTTTTCAATGTGGTTTATTTTTTAAAGAAAATGTGATGTGCTTTACAGCTCTCAGATACTCACAGTTTGACTCTCATATGGATGGGACACTGGATAATGAATTTGATTTCAACAAGGTAGCAGTATTCACCCACTCTATCATTATCTGTATATTATGTTTATTGTATATATCCACTATTGTTCAGGATCTGAACAAACCTCTAACCCTAGGTATTACACTTTTGCTGTGTAACTTGTCCCAGACTGTAAATGTGACGGACATGAATAATATGTTAAATTGTGTGCTTTTGTTTTGGGAAGGTGTGCTTGTACACCCTTACATATTTTGCATGTGCAAGAACCACTTACATTTTTCTTTTGAAAATATGAACATCTGGGTGATTATCTCATTCTTATATTTCCAGAAACTTGAGGACGGAAGCATCACAGTGACTGAGTTCCTAAGCCACTTTGGTATCAACTTCGTCATCCACAGATCTAGAGCAAGTGCTCTTCCTGACAATGTAAGTGGTCTGGCTCTCTTTGTTAACCATAATATGTGTCAGTTTTTAACACATCTTTCCTTTTTTAGTTTAGGGCTGGTGAAGCATGCACAATGGAAGATTTACTCAAAGAGAAATACATATACCATCCCAAGCAGAGAGTATATGAGCAAGACTGTAAGAACCTCACAGAGATAGTGGACAGGTACGTACTAGTGTGGTTTTAATAATGATGTCAGACACTGTGTGTGTGTGTGTGAACTCTTTTTGGGAATTATTTAGTGAAACTAATTTCTCCATAGACTTAAAGAACAAATGCCTGAGCAAGAGAAATCCCTGGGATGCATCAATGGAGCCCTTCAGCAACAGATATGTACTCTCTCTAAAGAACAAGTATGTTGTTTTTATAGCCAATCTTGGGTCATTTTATGTTAAATCATAGCATATAGCGTTCATTTTTGAGAAGTCTTCATACTTGTTTGTTTTCCTCAGTTAAAAAGCTTTGGATCCAAGTTGAAAGAGCGAAGACTTTACTTTGGAAAGAGAAGCAAGGCACATTCTCATGAAATGAAAGGAGTCTTGTACTCGGAGCTCATTAAAACTACACAGGTAAAGGCATTTTTTTTTTTTTTTTTGAAACATTGAAAAGTAAAACTATTCTTTAATCTAAAAATTTCTCTTTCGTTCTAGTCTGAACATCCAGAATAGAGAAATTCTGATACATAGACCCTTAAAAATTTCTTGATGAGTGCAATTCCACATTTCCAATGATAACAGTACTGGTAATTGTAAAGGGCAAAATGAAGGACTTAACCTTTTTTTGAATAAAAAAAAAGTCACAGCCGTAAACTTGATTTTAGGGCTGGGCAACGATTAATCGCATCCAAAATAAAAGTTTGTGTTTACATAATATATGTGTGTGTAGTGTTTATAATTATTTTGTATATAAAAAAAATCATACACATGCAAGTATATATTTAAGAAAAATGTTATTATTGTATCAAATATTAATATTTAATATAAATTATGTATAAATACAGTATATACATGCAAATATTTCTTAAATATATACATGCATATGTGTGTATTTATATACAATATAATTATACACACCACACACACACATATAGTATGTAAACACAAACTTTTGGATGCGATTAATCGCAATTAATCGTTGCCCGGCCCTACTTGATTTACTGCTGCTAGTGTTTTATTGGACATAATTAGTAAGTGCAAGATCATCAGTCATCAGTATTTTCAGTCTGTTTTCCCAGAAGAAAGGATTGTAGGGATGCACAGAATATTCGGCCACCGAACATTTTCGGCTGAAAATGGCCCAAAAGTGGATTTTTGGTTTTTGACCAATTCGTCCGAAATGTTGTGATGACGCAAACAGAAAGTGCAACCTGCAAGTGCTTGTCTGAAGCAACATGTCTGCGGTGTGGACGTGTTTCAGTATATTTGATAGTGTGTTCACATCAAATGAGAATAGACTGTTTAGCGTGAATGATTTTAATTTAATTAGTAAAGCAGAGAAGCTACTCTTCATCAAGAAAAACTGCCACTTTACCTCAAGAAGTAGAATGGGCTTGTCTAGTATTTAAATATGTATTATCCACTTTGCACATCTGCAATTCTTGGTGCATTTGTTGATGTTAAAGTTCTAAAGATAACATATGGGCTATGCCAGTCTTTGTTTTGCTACACTTTTGTTGAAGGCCTAAAGAGAAAATATTGTTGTATCTGTAAGCAGTTGCACTTGTTCGAAACTTGTAGTAGTCCTACAGAGAAAAATTTCAAATGCACTTGATCTAAATGCACTTTGTTTTTATGAGACAACATTTCATTTTAAAACCTTTCTGCAGGGCAGTATGCCTGTACATTGTCATTTAATGTACACATGAGTGGGGTCAAGTTAAATGTTTTAATTTGAATTTTATTTTATACTTTGCAGTGTTGCAATGTGCTAAATAAATATTTGCAAAATTTGTAATTGATTTATTCTTTGAAAGTTTAATATTAATTTATGCAATTGCAATTCCTTGCAATGCCTTTTTGTAAAGTTAGTACACAGTCATAGCCATAAATGCAATGGTACTTATAATTGGCATAATTTCTTTCGGTGTTTCGATTTTCGGCCTTGGTTTCCTCTTTTTCGGTTTCGGCCAAGAATTTTCGTCATGGTGCATATGTATTTGCTAAATGTTGTTTTTGCACATACAGTAACTTTTACAGTTTTAGGTTTTTATATAGTGCTAGCCGACATTTACTAAAAGCCTTAACTGCTGTGTATCTGAATTTCCTTACAATTAGGATGCAAAGCAAAGCCTGCTATCTAAAATCAAAGAGACAGACTGTATTATTGAAAACTTGGATGGATGCATTAATGATTTAGAAACTGGTATGGATCTTTTTCTCTGCTCTGTTTCATGTTTGAATGTATGTAATATAAACATCTGTTGTGTGTTTTCTTTTTTGTTGTGAATTGTCTCTTGTGCTGTCTTGTAAAGCTATGGAATGGACAGTGTCCAAAACAAATTTCCCTTCGGGACAATAAAGTATATATCAATTGTCTACATAATCATCGTGAAATAACACACTGCTTCTTCTACACTAGAGCTTGCAACTGTAGAGTCCATGATTATGGGAGATCATCTTGATGCTCCTCAAACCAGACCAGCCTTAAAAGCCAAGGAAGAGGGTAAGTTTACTTCTATACTATTGAGTTTTGCAGCTTTGTGAAGCTAAGAAAGATAAAATGGTTTGTCTGTGTTTTTCCCTCTCTACTGACAGATTTGAAAAGGCTTAATTCAGATATCACTGTGAAGGAGAGGTATGTTCTTCTATCCACACCATAAGGAATGTTTAAGATACAGGTTTTTGCTGAATGCTGAAAATGCGAATCATTTCAGGAAAATTGGTGAGCTGGAGATTCGGCTTAGGACTTTGGAGGGCCAACAGGAAAAGCTGCGAGGAGAATCAAGTAGCCTTAAGAGTCATCTTGCAACCTTGAACAGGTTTTTTTTCCCCTTTTGTTTAAAATGCATTGTAGTGGCACTTTGGCATCCTGTGACAATAACAAATGCTATACTAGAAATTACTTGATGTTTGGCTCGGTAGGTGAAATATTTATGTATTTTTACCACTATACCCATCCCATATATTTTGCTATGTAAATAGATATTGTGCTGAAGCCAGGTCTGATGATTTGTCTTTCAGTTTGAACGAGTGGCGTCTTGATGCGACAGATGAAAGGGGGGCCTTGTTTACCTTCCTTCACAACACTGTGCATCTGCAGGTGAACCTGCAAATACCTGCTGGTGAGTTAATTATCATTTATAATTACTCCTAATGGTTTTCATCATTATTATCACATTTATCAGTAGCTTAAAATACTTTTGTGTCTATTAGGAACGAAATGGATGACTGAGGATGTGGAGCGAAGTGTTGATGTATGCTTACAGTTGCAGCTGGATGGTGAGTGAACAATAAATCAATTTATATTTTCATTTTATTAAATATTTGAAATCCACTTTGTATATATAATTTTTTTTTTTCCCTGATGATGATTTTTTTTAAGTGGAAAAGTCTGAGTGTCATGCAAGCATGGTTCACAAGTTACTCACACTATACTGTCAGTCTCAAACTCAATGGACACAGAGGTACCCGACTACCCGACATATACCAGAGGTAAGCATGTACATTGTACATTAATATTTAAATGAAAGTATCTAAAATATTTATAGACATTGTTTTGCTACAAAGGTATAAGAGCAAGATCTCAGAATTGAATGGTCATTTCTCAACAGATGCTTCATGACATTAGTTTGGTGGTGGGTCGTCTCAGGCTCTTAGGTGAGGAGATTCACCGGCTGAAGAAGTGGGGAGGATTGAAGCTTCGTATCCTGAAGATCACCTGTATAGACACTCAGTAGGTTACACCAATCAGTGCACATTTACTAGCTTGCTACTCATGCACTTTCCCTTGGCCTTTTGAGCCGTGGTGCTTATGTGGATGACAGATTCCAGTTTTGATATTTCCCTCATCCCTAATTCCCTAAATAATTTGAAACATGTGTTAACTTAAAGATTCCTGCTTTTAAGAAAGATTATATTCATGATGACAAATTAATAAGTGTAAGCATCTTTTTTTCCCTCCCTTTCTCTTGTTTGTTATTGTTTTTACTTTTTCAGAGTTCATATTGTCTTCTCAAGTCTGAAAGCGTTTGAAAAATTTGAGTTAAGTCTGATGGTCACTCCAGACTATCCCTTTGGACCACTTCACATACAGGAGTTCAAAAAACACATGGGGAATACGAGGTTTGAAAGCAATTAACATCTTTAGATCACAATGCGTTTAAACGTAATCTGGCAGTGTGAGTGGAGACAACATCACCGTTATAAGACAGGATTGTAAATAGAAAGAAATATTGTGAAGTCCCTAGGCAGCGTTTAGTGAAACGGCAGCTTTCCGCATCTAAGCGTTCAGAGAAAATGTGTCAAGTACAAAATATTAATCTGTAATTTAGATTGTAACTTAGTCTGACAGAAAAGTTATGACTAGAATACTTCATATTAGAAAGTTTCCTCTTCACCACAAACCAATTTAACCTTTTGTCTAATTTGGTGCTCATTAGTGCTGAGAGTGTCAATATTTTGAATACATTTGAATGAATCATATATTTTAAAAATCATTTCTCTCAAGATCATTAATTGATAAGTGTTCCTTGGCACATGCAACTGTAAATATTACCAACAGCTACAACAATGTTCACTTTATAGAAGTAGTCACATAAAATGTTACTCTTGTGTCAGTGTTTTGTGCTTTCTGTCTTCTGTAGGTTGAGTCAAATTGAAGACATCCTTTCATCAGTCAAACCAGCCAAGAACTATCTGACAAAAATCCTCAAGAAGATCCACGATGATCTCCTGTGCTAAAAAACTCAAGTCTTGTTTACTCTTTTCTTTTCAGTCTTTTAAATGTTTGTATATATTGACGTTCGTATAATCAAAACATAATAATTAAAAATGTAGCCACAAACCACACTAAGTTTGCTCGCGTTCTTTGGCACGTTATTATGACTGTATCCTTGTCCGTTGTTATGAATCCAACTATTAGAATATGATTAAACAAAAATCAGCCCTGTATACTACTAAATATAATCCCATATGATAATCCCATCTTTGTGATTGGAATAAATGATGGCAGTGATGCTCCATGGCCCCCATTTTTTGTCCTGCCCTGCTTGATATGGATGTTCGTTATGGTTTAAGTTTGGAAATGTTTGAATAATATTTCCATAAATTAAATGTTATACAGAAAATTAGCATGTTAACCAATAATAAAGGAAGAAACTAATTTTAGATAAATAATTAGATTGCCATAACATGCCATTCCAAGATAGGGTGGTAACAAATGCAAATGTTCATTGTATATCATGTTTCAAAAGGCTAGTTTGACCTCAAGGCCAACCAGCAATCTCCTATAGACGTGAACAGACGAATGATTTTTGTTGTGTAGTGCTAACCATTTGTTACTGTCAGCTAGCTGTCAGGTAATCAAGATTTAATGCCGTGACACCACAGGAGAAGGTTTTAGGAATGATGCTGACCTTTGACAAGACTTGTACTGCATGGAGAAAAATGGAGAGAAAGTTTTGTGCAGCAAAGAATGCGGAAAATCTGACAGTGAAGAAATGCTCCTGTACAAGCATTACTGCAATGCAGCCCAGGTAACAGCGAAAAACATCAGAGTGCAATAAGACTTAGAGTATATTGAATGTGCACAATGTTGGTACTGACTATGTTTGCAGAGTCCATCTTCTGTAGCAGGACTTTGTAGCACTGAAAACCAACATAGAGACTTTGAGTGGCAGTTGTCCCACATCATTTGCTTGGATATACATGGAATGATGGATCCCTGACTCCTTGTCAAGGTAACTTTATATAACACCTTATGTTCACTATACGATGCAACCAAGGTCAACCCAAAGTACAGTGCCATGAAATCACAAAGAACATACATCTTTGAAGCAAAGAAATAGATGCCCGTTAGCTTAGCATGTTTAGCCTCTAAAGCAATGAACTCAATGCCATCGACAACCCTGCTTCAGATATCTTTAATTACTCTGTCCATGTCGTTTCTCACACAGCATTAGTGTGATTTTATAGCACTGAAAATCTCTGATCATGATACTATCTGGACACACTTCAGGAAATTGGGAATGAAGAGGAATCTAGTTGGCTAAGGTTGACAGACAGTGCTTGTTACTACGTAACAGCTGACACCATTCTGTGATTTACATCATAAAAGAATGTCCTCCACAATTACAGAGAGATGTTAATGAAAGTAATTGACCTCACAGGGCACAGAACAGTGTATTTAAAGGCTTGGATTTAGATTCAGCATGAAATGCCATTAGCAAACAGCTTTGCTTTTGTAATATGACTCATTTCTAATTGAAACGAGTTGTGTGGACTACTGTTATTGTGCTTTGGGTATTTTAGAAAGCTTGAAAGTCTGCCAAACTTGGATTCACCCCAAAATGCATCTTATAATCAGCGGGGAGTTTTTGGATAATGAACATATTTTTAGGTTGTTTGCAAACACAGCAATGAATTCTAATTTTTAGTATTAGGCATTTTTATGCATGCACTCTACTTTTTTGGCAGTTTTTGAACCCAAATATTAATATTGGGATTGCAAGTTGGATGCAATGCGTCTATATCTTCCTGTAAGATACAGGTATCTTGTTTATTAAACCAATTTTGGGATATTTTTGTTTTCCTCTTCTCGTCAATTTGATCAGGCTGCTTAAAACATCCTGTGGATGTCAAAACATGTTTACTGAGTTAAAGCTAGATTGCGCTTATGTTAATGATTCTCTTTCCTGTTTTTTTTATTTATTATTATTTGGCCTCTTTTTTGAGAAGGCAACAAGTTGTTTTTGTTTATTTCATTTATTCTTTCTCTGAAAAGACCTTCAGAAGGCAAACAATTCCTAAGACATAAGTGCCAGACAAGCTTTTTTCAAAAATTCCATTAAATGAATTACAAAGTACACTGGGATAAGCCTTATCCCCCCTTGATCAAATATCAGATATCATGCCAGCAAATTCTGTTTACTTGTTTTTGCTCCCCATGCCATTACAATAATCAAGCAGAATTGAATTTTATTTACATTTCTGAAATGTGTTCTTGGATCAGAGTGGTGTTTTAGGTGAGTCAGATCTAATATGCACAAACTAATGAGTCTACTCTACACCGTATATATTGGAAAAAATACCTCCCAAAGTGTTTCTATGCAGGTTCCTATTTCTATTATGCATAATTTATCAGTGTATGTTATTTCAAAGTAAAAAGGTTGTCTTTGCAATATTTCATGAAAATGAAATATATTGCTCAGCACTAGGCAACATGGACAGGAGAGAAAATGTAAGCTGAAGGTTTGTTATCAACTTGAGTCAGTAAGATATATTTTTGAAAGAAACTGTTGAAGTCAACAACTGTTTGGTTACCCACATTTTTCAAAATATTTTCATTTGTGTTCAGCAGAAAAAATAAATTCACACAGGTTTGGAACAACTTGAGGGTGAGTAAATGATGGCATAATTTTCATGTTTGGTTAAACTATCCTTTTAAGCACCAAATCAGAATATTAGAATCATTTCTAAATTATCATGTGACACTGAAGACTGGAGTAATTACATACAGAAAGTAAGATAAATTAATTAACTAAATTATTAATTAAATTATATATAATTTAACTATATTTTAAAGCGATTTGTTCACCCAAAAATAAAAATACTTTAACGTACATTACTCACCCTCATGTACTTCCAAACCTGAGAGGCTTTCGTTCATAATCCGAACACAAATGAAGGTCTCTTTGATGAAATCTGAGAGCTTTCTGTCCCTCCATTGACAACTCTTTGATGCTTCATAAAGTGATCATAAAACTAATCCATATTAATGAAGTGGTTTAGTCCAAATATTTGATCACTTTATATGATAAACTCTTTTAATTTAGGCTATGATTCACATGTAAACATTCAGTAACGCTTTAGATTATACAGCCTGGAAAGTACTGTGTAATTAAGAGGAACTTACAGTGTAACTTTCTATAATTGTAGTATACCTATAACATACTTGCATGCAAGTATAAGAGAAACAATATAGAAAGTTTGGGAAATAAAGGGGTAACAAGGAGAATTAGAAGAATATTTGTACTGTAAGTATGAAAGAACTAAGGGGTACTTATTCTACTATTATGATAGAACAAACTTACATTTGGGAGCAATTTAGCGAGAACATACACTGCGTACCTTTTGTAATTAATGTGTACCGCTACATTCTGTATAGGCTTTTTAAAAATTAAATACATATCTATGCATTTATTATTTTTATTTATTATTATTTTTTTATGGCAAAAGTGCAGATGTTTATGTTTGGGCTAACATGTTTCAAGGCAAGAAAAGCCAAGACTATTGCATTTGTTTAAATATGCTGGGAAATATATCTGGTTTCATGTGGTTACAGGGTAAGTGTAGCTTATAATAAATAAAAGTTTCCGAGTCAGTGATATAAGATTGTGTATGCATTTTTATTGTAATGTCACACTTACCCTGTAACTACATTAAACAAGAGGGTAACAAGCACCACTATATGAAACGAGAGTATCTTTACCTCATGAAACAAGAGTATCTTTCCCCAATATTTAAGGAAAAGTTGCAATAGTTTTCGTTTTATTTATTTCGCATTTTTGTTTAAAAAATTACTTTATAAATGCATTGATATGTACCCTGTAATTTTTAAAAAGCCAAAACAGTATGTACTGGTTCATCATTATTTCAAAAAAAGGTATGTTCTTGCTAGAATAAGTATCCCTTAGGTCTATAATACTTAGTATAAATATACTTTTTTAATTCTCCTGGTTGTTACCCCTTTTTTCCCGAAACTTAAAATATTGTTCCCTTATACTTATATTGTAAGTGCGTTATAGGTACACTATAATTACCGAAGTTTACACTGTAAAATCGCTTTAATTACGCAGTACTTTCCGGGCTGTAATCTAAAGCGTTACCAAACATTCATCGACTCGCACATCAGTTGTGGCAAATAGAGCCCGACCGATAAAGGATTTTGAAGGCCGATACCAATACAAATATTTTTGGGTTTTAAAATCCGATATATCGGCCGATATTTTATTTATTTATTTGAAACTGGACATGATAGTCACAAATTTTGTCATGCTTATTTGAGTTAAGAGAACTGATGGGGATGTTCTTTTAATTGTTATTCAAGCAATGTATGTATCGTGACCATCTCAACGAGTGTTGCCAACAGGAACGGTGTAGAGTGCCCTCTGGTGGACAAACTATACAACTCCAACACTCATGGTTCAAGCGTGTTTCGTCCGTTTTTATTTTATTTTTGAAATATTCATTTATCGGCCATTATAACTGCCGATACCGATAGTTTGGAAAATGCCTAATATTGGCCGATAACATCGACCTGCCGATATATCGGTCTGGCTCTAGTGGTAAATGGAAGCTCAAGCATGTTCGCTTGACGTGAGAAAACCAACGAGGTTTATTCTCGTGTTACGCATCACGTTTGAGCGTCCGCAGGTTGGTTACTAAAGATTTGGAGATTTGAATCCCAAAGGGAGTTATCTATGGGCTATAACCACTGGGCGAGACACTTAACCCCAGATTGTTCCGGAGGGAGGGAAAGTGTTGGAAGTCACGCTTGATAAAACTGTAAACTTGAGTTTTTTCGCAAGAGCACTTATTAGTCATTTGTTGTCAAGTGGCATGACGACTGATCCTTTACTGTTAGCAAAATCTGTATTTGTGCGTAAGAGTGAAATGAAGCAGGCCTTCATACCAACTCTCTATTTTAAGGCGAGTAGAGTTTGCCACCTGTCTCTGCTCCTCTGGATGCCTTGACAGCTCGTTCCCCCCTATCATAACAGTCCACAGACAGTCTCGTCCCTGTGTCATTCACAAAAATTTCGGTTTGTTCTGAGGGCAGTGATTCCCGTCATTGGTGGGGTCTTGGTGTCCCTGGCCTTTTTCTGTTTATAAATCTACAGGATTGAAGGATTCAACGGCAGTTTGGATCTTATGTCATGGCTGAAGCAGTGAGCCTACAGGACCAATTGGAGGAAGGTTTCGAGGATGAATTCGGAGAAATCATAAAAACTCGATCAGGTTGGAGAAATGATCATTTATTTATTTAAAGGGAAGTCTTATTTCATGTACATGCATTTGAAGGGTTAATTAATGTTAAAATAGGGCTTATTTGTTGTTTTTCAGTTTCAGATATACATTGGTAACATTATTTTGATTGTCCCCTAACAAGACATTTGATTTGACTAACTTTAAGTAACTACATGTCAACTTATTCTATACTAACCTGAACCCTAACACCTAACGTTAAACTAACAGTCTACTAAATACTCTGAGAGTTAGCTGACATGTTGTTGCAAAGTTACTTATAGTTAGTAAAATGTCTAAAATGAACCATAATTTCTAATATATTTCTTAATAATAATCACTACGATTTGTAATTGCACTCTTAGCCACATTCTATATGAAATAAACAAATATATAAATGGACATTTACAGTAACACATTTGTCTGTGAAAATACTACGCCATCGTATTTTCATATTTCTTTATCTCTGTTGTTCATCATTTTGTAACGCAGATCAGACATACTATGAGCCATTTTGAATTGGCCTCTTTAAAATCTAATTTCTGGCCTGTGCTCCGCCCTGAGTGAGTTCATATCTATTTTTTTTTTTTTTTCATCACTGTCATCCGGTATTCAGTAGGGATCATGAGTGATCTATAAATGCTCTCTGGTGGAAATAGGACAGGTCTTAAAGAGCTTGAAATAGTTGCAGCTGCCTGGTGTTGGGTTTCAGTATTTGAGATTTAGCCATGTTGTTATTGGCTTTTTTTGTTGTTTTATTGGCAAGAATCTCTCTCTCTCTCTCGTGTTTTCATGTGAGTGTGTTTATTATCAGCAGTGAAAGTTAGGAGAAAGTAGCAAAATGAGTCAACAGCTTGACGATCAGCCAGAGGACACAAACAGTACTGTAAACCTCTGAGAACTGAGCTTTAATAGAGGACATCTGCTATCAGGGCTAAATCTCGCTATACACTGGTTATTTAATGGTTGTTGATACCTTTGGTTACTCTTTATTTTAAGGTGCCCTTATTACAGTGTAATTATACTTCTAAGTACTGAGTAATATTGATTAATAACATGCGCTATAAGGGGTTTGGTTTAGGGTTAGTTGCATGTAACTAATGCACAAGTTACTGTTATTTCTAGTAAATACATGTAAAATGTGTCACCTAATCACCTAACTTTTTATCAAGAACCAATTTTCAGTGTCTGGGGTTCTTTGGTATATATACGGTCAAACCAAAATGTATTCAGACACCTTGATATCCTATCCTTTTTTTTTTTTGGTTTGATTCTATATATAATTGTATTGTATGTGTATGTATATGTACAGTAGCCAGTACGATTAATTCAATATTCGCATCCAAAATGAAAGTTTGTGTTTACATAATATATGTGGGGTCACTTTGTATAATTAATTTGTGTGTGTGTGTGTGTGTGTATGTATATATATATATATATATATATATATATATATAAAATAATTATACACAGTGCCCACACATATATTATGTAAACACAAACTTTTATTTTGGATGTGATTAATTGCGGTTAATTGTTTGACAGCCCTAGTATATAAATATATTATACGTATATGTGTGTGTGTGTGTGTGTGTGTATATATATATACACACATGTATACATAATGTATATAATATACATAATGTATATAAGTGTGTATGTGTATGTGATATATACATAATGTATATTGTATGTGTGTGTGTATATATATATATATATATATATACATACATACAGACGTACGTACGTACATACATACATAATGTATGAGAGAGAGAGAGAGAGAGAGAGAGAGAGAGAGAGAGAGAGAGAGAGAGAGAGAGAGAGAGAGAGAGACCAGTGAAATGGGAGGTCCAACTAATGGAGCCCAAGAAAATCTGGGCAAAACAGATTAAAGCTTACCCTAAAAAACCATAGGCTCAGCCTTCCTGTTGCCAAATGCAAAGCTCTCAACCGCCAAGCCTGGAAAAGAGTTGTACAAAACTTTGGTGAGCCAGTGGCGCCCACAGCAATGTATTGCTTTGGGACAAATCTCGTCCAATTGTTTGCTAAGGGACAGAGTGAGAGTGAGATTGTCCAGTTGGGCGAGATAATAATCATGTCATAAAAATTATGTCATAGTAAAAAAAACCAAATAGGCTTCATTTGTTGGATCCAAAATCTAGATTCGTATTCATGAATTTAGTTTTTATTATTTGTTTTGTCCTTTGATATTGGAGTGAAAAATGTCCTGAATGTTTATTTGGAAGATTCGCCCAAAACGTTCTTTGTGGTTCTTAAGTTCTCCTGGCTTTAAACCCATTTTTGTCCCGATTGAAACCCTTATTTATTTTTAAATGCGCAAGCATTTAGCATTGCTGATGCCTTCTGAGGCTCCTGGTGTTCAGTGGCATTTTTACAGTTGGGGCGAGACAGTTCGACTCCTGAGAGAATTTGAGGTTGCAACTCTATCTTCTGCTCATGTTATCCAATCTGGGCTCTGTTTTGTGTTAAATACCACTGCATAAGGCCTGCAGGAGTGACTGACATGATGACATCTGCCGTAGAATCTTCTGACTCAGAAGATTTAAGAAATTCTCTAAATAACTTGTGGTACCGTCTCTGCTTCGCGTACTCCAGAGAGCACATTTTATCAAAGAGCATAAAATGTTTTTATGCTAGCTGTCAAAACATTGATATTGTAACCTTTGATATAGATTAAATAATACTGGGAAATTATAATAATAAAAAGCTGGGGGGTTTTGTTGTTAGCCTTTTCTGCCTCTGCTTGTGACCGCCCAGGGATGGTCGGTTGTATACTGGTGTTTCTATTTTTGGCATTAATGGGAATATATATATATATATATATATATATATATATATATATATATACACACAGTAGAAGATATAACTCTGTATGAACAGCCACTGTAAGGCAGTGTTGAGCAAGTTCTACAGAAAACAGCATTCGGATCTCCTTAAAATCTCCCCCTCTCTCACTCTCAGTCACTGGAGACCTGATCATTTTTTTTTTTTTTTTCTTTTCATTACATAATCAGAGAAGCACACACTGATAAAACTAAAGGAGCCTGCTCAGGATGTCCAAAGCAAACGCCATTCCGTCCGCAAGTGCAAAAAGCACAGCAGAGACAAGAAAGTGAAAAGGCACCAGCAAGAGATGTCAGAGGGACCATATGGTGCTGGAATGGATAATTAGACTTTAGAAAGCTGTGACGGCTACTGTTGGTCTTGTTCTGTGTCCATACAACTGTTTCGCGTTGGTTTTGTCGGCAACTTTGTGTGTGATACCCCAATGTTAATAGATTTGTAGGCCTTAAATTATCTCTGCTATGCTATTAAATTATCAGTTTTCATGAGCTTGAAATATTATATGTTATTATTACTAAGCACCTGAGCATTTATTATGTTTTTTTTTTTTTTTTCAATAGAAATGTATTAAATTCCCCTATTTAAATCTTTAAATTAGTTTTTTTGGTCATTCTCCAGTACAAACATCTCAATATCCCTATGTATCACCTATACACACCAAACTTTCCAGTTATACACTTAGCAGTATTCTGTGAAGATATTTTCCAATGGATTTGTTAATAATTCCTGAAAATATGTGCAAAAGCGTGCATAATTAATTAGATAATGCCTTATTTGCATAATTAAGCATACAAATTTCAAAAACTTGTAATACATTTTTTTTATATACTGAGGAAGTTTCATGGTGATGTCTATTATTTTCAAATTTTACCCTACACTGTAAAAAAAATATTGGGTAACACTTTATTTCAGTGTCATTGTTGCATGTAGTTACTATTGTAATAACTATAAATGATGCATAATTACATGCAACTAACCCTAAACCCTTATCCTAACCCTTTAGTAAGTACATGTAGTTACTTAATATTACTCAACACTTAAATGTATAATTACAGTGTAACAATGACACCTTAAAATAAAGTGTAACCAAATATTGTTGGTTTAACTTAAAATAAAAAGAAGTAACCTGGTTGCCTTAAAAAATTAAGTTGATTGAAATGGAAAAAGTGAGTTGATACAATGAAGGATGATTTAATCGTCAGAAGTTATCTGAACTAAATATATTAGTTAAGTTGATTTGACAAAAGAAAAAAATGTTGTGATAAATCTTGAAAATATTTTTTTACTTGTAGTGTCTCGCGTTAAGAAATATGTATTTCAAGCACCTCAATAGCTTTTTTATGATGGCTAGAAAATATTGACCATCTATATGAGTTCTTGCAAGAACAAACTTTAAAACAAGCTTTTAAAATAACTTAAAATAATTTAAAATAACTTTTAAAATAAAATAATGTCTTCACACATTTTTTGTTGTAAATTTCAATTACATTAAATAAAATGTACAGTACTTCAACAGATAAAAATCAACAGATTATTTTTTTGTGTGCATAAAGACATCCTCACAAAGCAAAAAAAGTTATTTAACACACAAAGTGAAGCACAACAGTGAAATCATGCAACTTTTTATAGCATGGTAGAGTAAATGCTTACATACCGGTGTATTTAATTATTTATAGTTGGTATGATACTGGTAATGTTTATATCTTTGAACCTCGAAATTAACTTGAGGACTCATTACCAAACAAGTAGCCTATTATTTATGAATCAGTTACTTTACTTTCTACATGCTTGAATGCCACCGTGGGTGGCATTCTGAGGAGTTCCTCAAGGGAGTCTCCAGTATCTTCTTCTCCTCACGTTACAGTGTGGAATGAACAGATAAGTTTTGGATTAAAATACTTCTCGTCACTTTAGAAACATCAGGTGTTTACTGCACTCTATCAGGCTGTGTGTTTAAAGCCCTGGGGGCTTTTATGACATTTGCTGTTCACTCTTTTCTGCAGTTATTCATCAAATACATAAGCAAATGGTTGGCATGGGTGAAGAAAAATGACATTGAAAATGAGATCTACACCCCTGGTTGGCATTTTAATAAAATTCGAATGACAACTTGCAGGCTACTTAAA